AGTCTATATAAGCGCTAGAATATTTACTTGATATAGGATAAAACCGAGCTAGGGTTTTATCGGGTAAATAAAAGACCGGTAGAAGTATAAAAAAGATATAGGTATAAATTCCGAAATCAGGAAGTAGCTTATATCCGGGTACGCGTATATCTCGATATTCTTAACTAGGTTAAAGTAATAAAGTTAGCGGATATTCTAAATATATTTTTCCGCGTTACGTCCGGAAATGGTACGGATTATAAAGCTTAGGCTCGCTATATTACGAGAAATAATAACCCCGAATAAATAGCTATATCTTATACGATACCTTCTTTCGTAATAGCTTTACGGCGATCCCGTTAGTACGGAAATAAGAGTAACGTTATTACTACGGTTCGTATGTTTAACGGGAAATCGGCGATAGGTCGACGCCGGTTTAGCCTCGGTAGAACCTTTATCCTTATAAGCGTTTTAATTAATTATGCGTTATTACCGAGGCGTTTTACGATAAGGTAACGCAAGCTCGGGAACGTCTAACTCTAGCTTATTACCCGATTAAGCGTCGTCGAAGAAGAAAGTATACCGGTTAATAATCGATATTTCGGATTAAGAATAAACGATAATAATTATATAAATACCTAACTCGAGTCGAGGTATAGTCCTATATTAGTACTTCTTTTTTAACGGAATAAAAAGAAATAAAGATAAGTATAAAAATAAACCGTAGCTAAGAGTAGCCGCTTCCAGCCTATATTCGGTTTCGGAACCGTAGAACTATCCGCGATCTACGTTCCTCGCGAGAAACTAAAGGGAATTATATAGCTCCTAGTAAAGAGGCTCCCGTAAGGTATACGAAATTCAGAATACGTAACTCGTAATAACATACTTTAATCTAAAGGCTCGGTTATAATAACTAAACGCCGAAATATCGTTAAAATTCCAAGGAATTACTAAGATCTCCTTAGATTATCTCCTCTTCGATTTAAAGAAGGAGTCGAACATTAAAAAAACTAACCGCCTTATCGAGATCTTTAAGCGAGAAGGATACGATCGTTTAAATAATAGCCATACTATCCCCGGAAATATCATTATCGATTTACTTTCCGCATTACTATAGTAATTTAACTTAAGCCCGGTTAATCTATATAGCCCCGAGCTACCTACCCTTTACCTTCCTACGGATACGTATATTAATTATTTTCATAAGAAGTATCGCGTAAAAGCGCTTCGGCGATCGAAAAGCTTATTACCTTAGTAGATAGTTAAGCTATACGTAGATAGGTTATACTACCCCGGACTAGAAGTTAAGTCGGTACTAATTCCCTCTTAAGACCTTTCGCTAAAGGCTATCCGGTTTCTAGCCGAGGATTTCGTAAACGAAGGGTAGTTTTCCGACGGATATATAGTTATAAAGATTTATAGTTACCCTTTAAACTCGATCGACGGAAATAAATAATAAACGAAACTAAGTAAAAGTAAACCCGAAATACTAAGGAGATTACTTAAGTACGAATAACTTAAACCTACTCTCGGGTATATATTAAAAATCCCGGGCCTACGTTTTAGGCTTTAATTAGCTATCTAAAAGAAGATTATAACTAAAAACGTAATAAAGATACGTTTTATCCTAGAGTTATTTAAAGACGCCCCTTCCCTAGGGATATAAACGTTCGGCTATTAATTCGCGACTTCCTAGGAAGTTATTTATTATCTTAAACGTATATACGATATATAGTACTATATAATAAGGTCTAAAGCTACGCTCGAATTTATAAACGACGATATAGTTCGGGAACTCGAACTCCGCGCCCTAGGTATATCGCATTATAACGATCGTTATATATCTAATGTAGTACGGACGAATATAATATTTTAAGGCGTTATAAATAAACGCGATAGGGAAAGCATCTTATAAAAAGCTCTATAAATCGACTATTTAATCCTAATACTTCATATATTATAGTAAGATTTTAAATACCTACGATAATATATTAATATTATAAGGCAGTTAATCTTAGGGAAGAACCGATTCCTTATTACGGTTTAAACGATAGTTTTTAACGCATATAAAGCCGACGCGAGATTAGGTTATACGACTAACTTTCTAAAGAATATAAAGTCCCTCTACCTTATTATTATATAGGACCTCGTAAAGCTTTCGGGTAAAAACCCTTTAAAAGAAGATAATAAAGAGGACCTAAAAATCCGTTTATATAATTAAAAAGCCTGGTATTAATTAATACGCCGAGCCTAAGAGTTAGGGTTTAACTCTAACGAGATCTCTCGTTTCTTTCGCCTAAACCCGGACCGAGAAATAACTAGGAAAGCGTTAATAAATATTCGACCGCTATAGTACTTCGATTATAAATAGAACTTAAACGCTTTTATAGCTACTATAGTTCGATATTTTAATAAAGCGCGGCCTATTATATTTAAAGGCGTTTATTTAATACTTACTACTTCGTATCCGGGAGAGCTAATTAAAAGACGATATAGTCGCTAGTACTCGAAAGCTTACTCTAACGACCGGTTATATATTATATAGGATAACTTTATTAAATATATATAAAAGGATGTCGATATTTCTTCCTTATTTATCCGGAGGTCCGTTTTTTAAGCGTTTTAAGGCCTACGTAATAAGTAGGATACCGATTAGTACGACGTTTACGGCCGGAGCGGTAATATATAGAATTAATAAATCTTAGATATAAATAAAGACTTTAATCGGAGCATTAATACGTAAAACGAGAACATAGGTATAGGTAAGGAAGATTAAGATCTAAGAGACTCTAACTACGCGGGCGGGGTTTCCGCGCTAGCTCTTTATTAAAACTACGAGATAAGAAATTAACTAATACCTCGGTAGCGAAACCTAACGTTTAAAGTCTAGCGCTAACGAGATAAGAAAGAAAAGACTAAGGCTATTTCTTAAATAACGTTAGCGATAGATAGGAGCTCGGCCCTAACTACCTTTATTTCGGATCTCCTTCGGCTTAAGCTAAACGATAATAGCTAGCTAAACCCGGTATAGGATAATCGAACGATAAAAATTCTTATCCGAAAAAACGGAAATTAAGATAGATTTTAGGACTACCGGCGTTCTTTTATTATCGAAGGCTTAAAGAAGATATAGCGTAATAATTCGGGCCCGGGAGAAGTATGATTTTTATTTACTAAAGATAATCGAGGTATTACTTTAGAGGATTACCCTAACTACGAGGGTAATATCGTATATTTAAATACCGATGTAAGTGGTTTTTTAGTAAAGGAAACGTTATAAATAATATAATAATAATTATCGGCTTTTATTTAATAGCGTCCTAATCTAGTAATCCTATACTATAATAGATTATAAGAAAGCCATAACTAAGATAGTAGGTAGTCTTTAAGTCTATCGTAGCGATTAGTACTTATACGAGGAGGATTATTCGTATGTAGTTTTCTAGAGTAGTTTAATATCTCGTATAACTTTTTACCTTACGTATTATAGTAATACGGTAAGACATACCCTCTTAATACATTACGTAATACGTTACGATAGGCCTTATGCCTATATAGAGTAACTATAGCTTCCGTAAGTACGGACGATATTATGATTATTACCTAGCTAGATTATTAACTTTGCTATTTTTACCTTAATTTAAGATTCGTTTTTATTATTAAATTCTTCGTTTTCCGATTAATATATTTATCTTAGTAACGAGCGCTTAAGTTACTTCGTCGTACCGTAATAGCCGAATAAATAACTTTTACGTTTAGCCCCTTTCCTTCCCTTACTTCTTTTGCCTTCGGGCTAGCGATTATTATATCTCTATAACCGAGGGGTATACCTAAAATACGATAACTACATTAAATTCCTCGTCTCTCGATTAATAAAGTAATATTAATTTTATTTATCTTAAACTATCGTACGTATTATAGTTACCGATAGAATATACTTTTAAGTAAGCTATCCGGGATTCTAATATCGCGTACGCTCTACTCCTTTTTAGTATAAAAATTAATTAGTAGCTACTTTAGGTCTAAGGTATATAAAATTAAACCAAATAATACGGATATAATAAGGCTTCGTACGTTACTTTATTTCGTTAACGGTTAAAGCTTAACCGTTTTAAGGACCGTTTCCCTCTATATAAATATTATATAAATATAACTCCTTAGTTACCTAACTAATTATAGACTAAGCCGAGCCTAAGCAAAAGCGGCGATTACGCTAAGCCTAATTTAGTTGCGGTACAGAATGTGGTATAACCTAGAACCATTTGATCCTGACTAAGTGCTGGCGTTGTGATGATTATGGTTACTATTGCTGCCGTTCATTTTGGGAGGTGATTCCCATCCTTATTTTATTATCCTCGTCTGGTTTCGTTGAGAGGCCAAAATAAGAACCCATTCACCCATCCCACGTCGCGCCCCGCAAGCTGACGGTCGGTCTGTAGTGTCTGACTTGATACCTTTCTAGCCTTCTCCCCCCGTCAGTTCTCGACCGGCAGACTATATCAGGTCAAGTTGTCCGGCGGGCGAGTGAGCTGAGACAAAGGAGGACAGGAGCGTACATACACACACACCCGACCTCGCGTCACAAACGGCCTGGGACGTGGACGTCTTACCTGCACACCAACTCGCTGTCGTCTTTTCCTCCCGTGTATCCAGCCGGGCCTCGTTCCAGCCAGCAGCGCCATCATTCGGTTCTGACGACAATCCAGCCCACCCATGGCCTGTCAGATTGGGTGTTGAAGCCAGGTTCCCTAACCAAGGTCCCTTATCCCGTAACGTGTCTCTTTGACCAGTCCCGTCCCATCTCGTCTCGTCTCGTCTTCGGTCCTCGACTCCCCTCTGCTCATCTCTCGATTGATTCACCAGCTGGGTTGATCAACTTCCTCCCTCCCTCTCTCTCTCTCTCTCCTCGTGTCGTATTCGCTCCCCCAACGGCGCACGTACATCCTTCCTTCACTCACAACATCCGCACACTCTCCATCCATAGTACGTTGTCGGCTGGGCCTGTACCTACGCGGCCTGCGCAACCACCTGGCTCGAGTAAACTAGCGCAGATCGGCGGATCCTTGCCTATTCGTTGGGCGCCGGGGGGCATCCCTTTGCTTGCCGTTTTGTTGGAGACCGCCATCGAGGCGAGGAGACGACTAGCCTGATTGCGCGGTGACCCAGTGAGCACCGGCCATCGCTGGCGACCCAGAGACCAACTCGCTCTTTGCCAACTCCCCCTATCTCTCTTACCCACCTCGGGTCTATTGACTGCATCTCGCATCCTCTCCCTACTACACTTTTCTCGTCGCTTGCCTCGAGCTGTCGTATTCGTCCTCGCAACGATGTCGGCCCAGCCCTGGCAGAATAGCAACCCTAGCGGCCGGGTCCCCGACGCTGCAGTGCTGCGATCTGCATCCGAACCAGGCGCCCCAAGCCAACAGCGTCAGCGGAACGATGGTAAGTCCGATCGAGTCGAACGTCGTGAACAAAGCCTCACCGCTTCAGAATCCTGGGTCGAAGTATCATCGCACCCATCTTCGTCCTCCGTGTCGTCCATCGGCGACGAAATCGTCACCACCGGCCTCCAAGTGGGTTCGTCTTACCGCCCTCGGCGACGACCTCGCTTGCACCGGCCGCCTCGTGCGCATTCCGATGCACAGCAGCCCACTTTTGCTGCCAACCAGACTGGCCAAGCGGGCGCGAGCAGCAGCCAGGAAGAGTACGACGAGAGCGAGAGCGATGAAGACCGGGTCCTGACGAGCTCCACCGAAAACATCACTTCGCCTCAGCCGATTCGAAGAACCCCTCTGCAGCACGCTTCCCAGGCCAAGACCGCCGAACCTGACTCGAGTGACGACGATGACGAGAATGCGACCGCATTAGGAAGACGCCCTCCGGAGCCCTTCCAGCCACAACCCAACGCCTTCACGCACCCGCCTTCGCATCTAATCCACCGCCACTCGACGACCTCCGCAATCCCCCAGCACCGCCGCCCACCGTCGTTCAGCCAGCGATCTCATTCCCGCGTCGACCGTCACGCCCCCCATTTCATGTCGCCGAACTACCAGGCCGATAACGATGCGGCACTGCGCGCCAGCCTGACAACTCTGCTTAGTTGCGCCGCTGCAGCGAGAGGACGGTCCAAGGATGGCAGCGACAAGGAGATGGGTGAACGCGGCAGTCCGGCTGCCGGCAGCCAACCTGTCGCGTTGCATTTCGTTCCCGAGAGCGAGCTGATGGCCCCGCCACCCGCCCCAGCCCAGACGCAGCGAGCGGGCCAATCCCCCAGGCCCGGCTCGTCGGCGCCGGCACCCCGCGGGCCCGCTGCCGAGAAAGTCAAGCGAGTAGCTACGCCCACGTCAGGCGCTAAATCGCCTCGCGCGACTAAGAAGAAGAAGACGAATTTGGCCACGAGCGAGGACGCTTTCATCAGCCCCACCCTTCTCACCTGGGTCATGAGTGCCGGGGTTGTGGTTCTAGTGTCTGTCGTGGGGTTCGGCGCAGGCTATGTGCTCGGAAGGGAGGTCGGTCGTCAAGAGACGCTGGGCGGGTTGGGCGCGGCAGGCAACGCGAGCGCGGTGGCCGAGGGAACCGACTGCGGCAGAGAGGTCATTAGAAGCGGCGGCGGAACCCTGAGGAGATTCCGCTGGGGAACCGGGATTAGGAGAAGCATTGCGGCTTGAACGAGGACCTTCGGCGAATACCCCCCACGCAAAGGACGCGTTGCAGTCCGGCTTGATGTTTGTTTTTCTTTTTCAAGTACACCAGGAAGCAGGCGGGCTGATGTATTTCATATCCCACGAGTCGATGACACACGCCCCTCGGTCAGGGACACGCTATGTACGCCCCCCTCAGCATTAATTTGACAGCTGGCTATGTATGAATAAGAGGATTAGCCCCGTATTCCCCCAGGTTAGACGCTTCTCGGATACTCGGTTAGGCTTGGAGGGACAGAAGCGAGAGAGGTGGTGGGGGAGGGTCATGCCATCGCCATAGGCATCATATCATATCATGCTAACGCGTGGCGGGAGTCGAGGATAACTCTTTCGTAGTCTTTTTTTTTTCTTGTCCCATTTCTTCTTAGAGGGCACGACCGCTGTTTGGGCTCGGTTCGGCACGGATACATCGTGTATGATCGATCGATCGGCGAAGGGAAATCAGCAACGAGAGACGGGAACAGTACGCATGTACGTAGTTTTATTATTTCTCTATCGGATAATTAAGACGAGACAACCACTTCAGGCGGATAGCCTTCTTTTTTTTTCCCCTTCCTCTTGTTTCATACGAAAAATTTTTTTGTGGTTCTCTCTCTTCGGCGGTGACGCTCGGGCGGGTTGGGCAGCACACGGTGCCGCGGCGCTGCTGCTTACTGCGACGCCGGGCAGCGGCCGCCGCACCCGGGCGACGACAATAGAAACGGAATTATGACAGCTATGTCGACTGTGTCTGGTTGTTTGCGCGAGAGCGCGTGCGTGCGAGGGTGTCACTATCACGAGAAATGCAGGCTTGCCCTGCCGCTCGCGTCTCCGTCGCCGGAACTTGGCTGGTAGGCACTACGCACGAAGGCGGCGGGCGGGGGACATGACACGTAGGGTCCGTCAAGGCGAGCAGGGCATCGTGCCAATCGTGTCTGCGGGCATTTATATCTGTGACGAGAGAGAAAAAAAAAAGTAGCAGCTACGTAGATTCAGACACCCCCCGAGGCCCGCGACCGACAACGGCGTTTTCCTGACACGGCCAGAGGCAAGCACAAAAGCCCAACGTACTCCAGACCCAGACACGCACGCACGCACACACTGCAGCGAGGGGACCGGATAGCAGCGGCCCCTCTTCGGATACTCAGTCGTCGTCGTCATCGTCATCGTCGATAACCCTCCTCTTCTTCTCCGGCCGCCTGTCCCTCGCGCGGCCGCCCCTGCGCCCCGGGCCGGGGCCTTGGTCCCCGCTATCCTCCTCGTCCTCGTCCTCGTCCTCATCGCGCGCCCTGGCCCTGGCCCACGGCCGCGCTCCCGCTCTCGCGGCGCCCGCGGCGGCCGCCTGGCTCTCCCGGACGATCTGGCTCAAGGACGGGACGTCGGCGTCGGGGGCGGAGTCGTCGGCGGCGCTGTCCTGGGTCGAGTCGAAGCGGGTCGGCTCGTAGTAGGGCGTGCGCGTGCGGCGGGGGCCCGCGGCGCCGGCCGAGGAGGACGCCGGCGACGTCGGCGACGTGGACCGGGCGCGGGCCGGCGCCGACGACGTCGCCGCCTGACTCGACGTCACCGCCTCGTCGTCGCCCACGACGAAGCCCTCCAGGTCCCCGCCGCTGTCCGAGTCGTCCGTCAGCTCGAGGTCGCTCGTGCGCCGGCAGTCGTCGCCCTCGTCGGCGCTCTCGTCGTACGCCGCCGCCGCCGCCGTCGTCCGTCGCGGGTTCTTCGTCTTCGTCTTCGTCGTCTTGGCCCGCCCCACCGTTGCTTTCGGCCGAGCCGCGGCGCTGCGCTTCCGGGGCGGCGGCAGGCGCACCGCGTCGCCCTCGCTGTCGTCGTCGTCGACTTCCACCGCGCTGGCGGCGCTGCGCCCGCGAGACGTCTTCACCGCGGGCCCCGCTGCTCTCTTCGGCTGAGGCGCGCGAGCCGGCGGCGGCGGCTCGGGGATGTCGTCCTCCGACGTCGGCGCGGCCTTCCGCTTCTTGCGCGCGGGCCCCGCCTCCGCGACGTCGCCGTCCGAGTCGGGCCCGGATGCGGGCAGCGGCAGCTGGCGCCAACGGCTCGTGTCCGATCCCGTGCGCGGTCTCGGGGGGCCGCCCGAGGCGCTCGCTATCGTCCTCAGCATCCTCACGCACCGCCTCGTGTACTCCCCGTGCTTCAGATGCACGGTTTTGCGCATGGTCCTCTGGGCGGCCGGGTGCGTCGCCAGATCCACCTGCGCGATGTCCTCGGTCGTGTTGATGTGGGAGTTGGGGAGGTGCTTGTACGCCCGGTTCAGCTCGGCGACTTGGCTCTCGCTGAGCAGGACCCGGTCGAGGCGGGGCACGTCGACCACCTCGTCCTGCTCGGCCGGCGGCCGCCGGGGCTCCTTGGCCTTGGCCTTGGCCGCAGGCGCTTTCTTGCCCAAGAGCGCGGCGACGCTAGTAAAGCCGGTCTCTACGCCGTCGGGCATGTGGAACTTCTTCGGCGGCTTCTTCTTCGTGGCCCTCCCCTTCTTGGGCTCCGGGAGGCCCTGGATCTGCGTGTTTTCGATGGGGATTTCGACGGCTTTCATCTCGACTTCCGGGCGAATGTCCCGCGGGACGATTCGTGCGGATAGGTCGTGGCGGAAGCTGAAACGGCTTCCATCGCATATCATGCGTTGCATCTTTTCGTAGGCGTCCTTGGACTGGGCGTATTTTTCCTCCTCTTTCCCCCGCATCAGGAGCAGAACAACGCGCCCCGCCCGCTTCCTCCCGGTTCTGCCCATCCGCTGAAGCATTCGGATAGGCGACGCGGAAGCGTCGTAGCATATGATCAGGTCGACTTGGCCAATGTCGAGTCCTTCCTCACCGATAGATGTCGCGACCAGGACGTTGAAATCCCCCTTCTTGAATTTCTGGATTCGGTCGATTTGTTCCGCTTGCTTCATGCCCTCTGTTCTCTTTGAGTCGGCTTGTCCGACGAATACTGCTGCACGGATTAGTGGCTGGTGGATGTTGAGAGCTCGTACAATCTCCTCGGCGCTGTCGCGATACTCGCTAAAAACGATGATCCGAGTATTCGACGGGTCGGCTCCTCGGCCGTCGCTGGCGTCCATGAAGTGGTTGAGGACGGTGTCGGATAGGTATGTGAGCTTCGGGTGGCTGATAAAGCCGTCCTTTTTGGACCAGCTGGCGATCTTATCCATCATCTCTCGAAAGCTAGGCGAGTCGATAACCTGCCGTTTGTACTTGGAGCCCTTAGCCCCCTTGCTCTCGGTTTCGTCCCGAAACTCAACCAAGCTATCATAGAACGGTTTGATGCCGTGGAAGCTGAGCAGCTTGATACCATGGGCTAGGCTTCCTAGAATGGAGAAGATTGACATCATCATAATCTTGACGCCCTGATTGACGTGTTGCCCAGCGTGAGCAAACCAATCTTTCCTTGCTTTTAGGATGCCAAAGGTAGTCAGGGCCATCGGATCACGGCCGTAATAGATATTTTGCTGGCTCAGCTTTTCCACGAGAGGCTTTAGTGCCTTAGAATACAGCTCCTTGATATGGTTCATCTCGTCCGATGGGTCTAGTAAGACAATATCTTCATCTCTCTGATGGACATACTGACGGATGTCGATCGACTCCTCAGTACGAATCTCTACGTGGGAGATCCCTAAACTATCGATCACCTCTTGGACCGACTCGACTTTGGATCCCGGGGTGGCAGTGAGAGCGAGAATCCGGAAGCTGCTCGAGAAGCGCCTTAGAAAGGTGACAACCTTTACGTAGGAGTAATTTCCCGTTGCCCTATGGGCCTCGTCGACTACTAGTAGGCCGATTGACTTGGGATCGGCATATCCAGAAGATAAGTCGTTTTCCAACGTTTGTGGAGTCATGAAGAAGACCCTCTTGGATCCCCATTCATCGACTCGAAGAGCAGGAGGGATCTCGCCTGTCAAGAGAGTTGTCTGAGACCTTGGGATGCCTGCTATGTTGAAACAGGCATCGACTTGCTGGGCCACGAGCGGCTTCGTCGGGGCAACGAATACAATCTTGGCCATTTTTGTCCAGCGGAAAAAATTCAACATGATTGTGGCAGCAATGAATGTCTTTCCCAAGCCCGTGGGCAGGGCCACGAGGGTGTTGTTAAATAAGCCGTTCTTGACGATGTTGAATTGGTAGTCTCGAGTTGGTCCTAGGTTTGTGGGATATACCCAAGTTGCCATGGCCTCCGAATCCAGTTCGTGATGTGTGGGTGGCTCCGGGGGTAAATCTGCGCGGAAGACACGGTTTGCATTGGCTTGGCTAGGCTGGGAGGCCGACCCTCGCTGGACGGTATGGCCGAAGAGAGTAGTTTGGCGCATAGCAGGAGCCGGAACCCCGACACGAGGCGGCTGCTGGAAGCCCGTAGAGGGGGCCCTCTGAGGAAGAGCTTGAGCGCCGCCCCTTCGGTGGGACGGGGGAGAGCGTGGGAAGGCATCTGAAGGTAAGTTCGCAAAGTCCACAAAGGACGATATGTTAGAACCCGCTCGCTGCTGGATCCTGTGTTAGTCTAGGACCAAGGGCAATGTAGGCAATGTAGGCGCGATGGCCTCGACGTCCGGGGATTCTGATGGGCAATTTGCATACCACTGGGTTTATCTGGAGCGAACCAAGGCCACCCCCGGGATTTTTTGTCTGTTGCACGCGGGGTTGGGATTGCCTCGAATTGAACCCAGCAGATTGCGGCTGGCCTAGAGCCAGTGCGGGAGCTTGGCTGGCGGCAATAATGAGGTCTTCATCGGCGATGTCGTCGTCATATTCGTCTGAATCCATGGCTCATATCTCTGCAGTATGTCATGGCTGGATGGGCTAGAATGAACGAGTCTCTCCAGCCCGGTAATAGCTCGAGGGATGTGTAGGATACGGACTTGTATGCCGAACACTGGCAGCTGTTGGACGCGTTGATTCCATATCTTTGTTGGTTGAGACATCGCGGAATCACGTGGTAAGATAATTGTGGCTATTTTAGGTACCTAGGTACATCGAGTGCCCGGGGCACAGGTAGGTTTGGTTACCTAAGGTACCTGAACATATCCCTAGGTGCCTCCAGAGGTACTGGTACACTGATCTTCGGATATATAAGCCTGGAAGGCAGGTACCCAAGGTATATATGACTCCTAAAGCGGGGATCATGTGGTAGAGTCACACTCCATCGGTGTATCGGGTCACTTTCACTTGAATTGATCCGTGCATATATTGAGGTTTTCCTCATTCCGCACTGTCAGGTTTATCCATCCCTCTTCTCAGCCTTTGTCCCAACGTCACACCCAGCTTTCATCTTCACCTTTTCTTTCATCTAAAGACAGACACGCCGTGTCCACCTAAACCCCCCTCGCCATCGTCAGAGAAACCCGCTCTATCCCCTCTCCAAATCGATCTCAAGTAGCCTCCCGACTCTGGATAATTACCACGCTCACTATATCTATCATCCAGTCCGTGGGCGTATGGTCAACCTTCTCTCCTAGAGCGCGGCCAGCCTCACTGGGCGGCTTTTTGGTTACCATACACTGAGAGCCTCCAGGGAGCTGCTCTATCATCTTGCACTCCGTCTACTTCTCTTCCGCCTACATCGCCCACCTCGCCCACATAAGCTGCTCTCCCACCCCTCCATTGTTCTGTGCAGCTATTCGAGAGCCTTCCCTCGGCAATGGCGCCCTCCGGTCCCCGAAAGGGCCCAGCCTCTTCTGGTCCGCAAGGCGCCCGAGGTCCTGGTTCGAACGGCGCGAAGACGACCACCCGAGACAGGATTTCCAAGCGTCGCAGCAATCAAGCCAAGAGGCTTGATCGGGATGGAGATTTGGACATGGAAGGTCCTGGCGCGGCAAACGGCTCGTCTCGAAAACCGAAGCGTGCCAACGACCCTTCCACACACGGACTCGCGTCTCGGGCCACCCGACCCTCGGGAACCGGATCCCGCGCACCGAGGCCGACGACGAAGGCGCAACAGATCATACAACGAGTCATTACTGGCGGTAGCGGCAGCCTGTCGTCCCGTATCGCAAACGGGGTGTCTGGGGGAGCTAACGCCTTCAAGGGCCAGCAGATCAATGCATCACAAACAATGGTCCTAAGGGTTGAAGGACTCAAGTCGAGCAAAGCCGCCAGTAATGAGGGAGGCGGACTTAAGGAGCTATTAATATTCCTGGAACGCAAGGCCCAGACCGTCGGCAAAGCCACACGACCTATTAAGATTAAGAAGGTATGTGATAGCATCCCGTCCGAGGATCTGGGAGGTTACGGAGCGACACAAAATCTCCGCATTCGTTTATCATGCCGTATAGCTCGCAAAAGAAAAAACGAGGAGACAGACAATTTTAGACCGAGCCGCATACCTACCCCGGATTCCTAGATTATTATCAAGGTTTCACGACCTTGCTGACATCTAGCAGTCACAAATCAATGGTGACTTTGTCTATGTAACAGCAAGCAAGGAAGACGGAGAAGAGATCCTGAAATTGAACGGTTTCGGCTTCGCCGGAAGCGTCCTTGCCATCACCGAATCTCCACACACCCTGGTCTCCGGCGGCGAGGCCGCCATGTCCTCCAACGCACTCGAGATCAAGGAGCAGCTTCGTAGCGTCCTCAGCGTACGGTACGACGTCGGAGCGAAGCTGCTCAATTTATCCGCCCTGGGTGAAGATACCGTGTTGAATCAGATGGGCGTCTTCCACGGCCAGAGTACTCCGGAGAAGCTGTTTCGTGCTCTGATGGCGGTTTGTGACGGATTGTTCAAGACAAGCCAGGAAAAACGCGACGCGGTTGTCAGCATCAGTCTTTCGAACAACAATATCGACGATGTTCTTCAAATAATGGCCTTGACCGAAACGTTCCCGGATCTAGTAAATTTGGACTTGAGTCACAACCATTTTAAGGATCTGAAGGGCCTTCAGAAATGGCGCTATCGCCTTGGGAGTCTGCAGGCGCTACTCCTCAACGGCAATCCGATCGAAACGCTCAACCCCAATTATAAGGCGGATATCACGGCTTGGTTCCCAAAGCTGCAAAACCTGAGCGGCACCCTGGTTAGAACTCCGGAGCAAGTTGCCGCTGAGGAGGCTGCCTCGCGGCCGACCCCGATCCCGCAGCACGGCGCGGACTTTCGGGATATCAATTGCGTTGGCGAAGGTTTCCTCGGAGAGTTTCTTACTATGTACGATACGGATCGACACGGCCTAGCCGCCAAGTATTACGACGACCAAAGCAGCTTCTCGATCTCGGTCAACTCGCAGTCCCCGCATCCGCCAGACATCCAGCCACCCGGCTGGGGTGCGTATATCAAGTTCTCACGCAATCACACCAAAATTACGCACACTCAGCCTAGAATACAGCGTCTATTCTCCGGGACGAATCTCATCCAGAGCGTGTGGCAACAGCTTCCCCCTACGCGCCACCCGAATTTAACGGCGGAGCTTGACAAATACATCATCGACTGCCATCCTATCCATGGTCTCTCGGACCCAACTAGGCCGGGTCCGTCGAGCGTTGACGGAATGGTCATAACTATGCACGGAGAATTCCAGGACCAGGAACCTGGTACCCTCAAGACAGCGAGGCGAAGTTTCTCGCGCACGTTCGTTCTCGGCCCGGGCGTGCCAAGCCGAAACCCCATTCGGGTCATCAGCGACACCCTCGTCGTCCGGGTTTTCAGCCCGCTACCTACCTCCACCCCAGAACAGGGTACGCGGCCTAGCGAAGAGATTCAGAAGCAGCAGATGGTTGTGGAGCTTTGCAAGGGAACGGGTATGACGCAGGAATATTCGAGGCTTTGCCTAGACGGCGCCAACTGGAACTTTGACCAAGCCCTAGCTTCGTTCAACGAGAAGAGGGTAAGCAATATCCCACTCGGAAATCGGTTGGAGTAAGTACTAACGAAGAACGCGATAGGCACAACTGCCCCCCGAAGCCTTCGGGCCGGCCTGAGGAAATGTGGTTATGCCATAGTTAGACGGCGGCGGAATTACGACTCTCGCACACGTTGGTTGCATCGTTGATGGCGTTCACGGCTCATGACTCTACACGGCGGAAGGGGAGGGGGATGGCGGTTTTGGAGGCTTGCGGCAAGGCACGCGTTCACTTGTAATTATACCACGAGGTTTAGAGATGCCGAAAGGATGCGATGCCTTACAAGTTTTCCAAGGCTCCAGTAAAAGCTCGTGATCGTTCAAGGTATTGCCAGATCAGGGTGCTATAGAGCACCCGCTTAGGGTAGCAGGCATGACGTCGACGAATTTAGAGAGGGGCGAGAATCAGATGCGGACATAACCTCGTAGGAGAATAGGAACAATGCACTCCAAATTGGACAGTTACCGGGCGGCTCCTGAATTCGGTGACACACCTCTTTGACCGGAACGGATGAAGGTGAGGGTTGCGGTCTGGGTCTTTAAGGGGTGGTCCTCCGCGATAGACCACACCGACTAGAGTATGCTCCTCCCGGAGCCAATGGAAAGCTGGAAATCGGCATGGAGGCATTTTATAGGGCTATCCCGATGCCGCGCGCTTTTGGATCCGCGTGGAATGGGGGAGGGGGGAGGGGGGGGGAAGGTGGAAGCGAAATGAGAGAAGTGCGCACAGGCGGCAATTGGCTTGGTGACGAGCCTGTAGTTTTGGCGAGAGCGACGGTATCGCGTAGCTCCAGCGCCTATAGGCCGGCCAGCGGGCCTGAGGCCTGTGGGCTCATCTCACTCTCGGCAGGCTTGCGTAGTTATTCCCGGCAGAGATCCCCTCATGCGGCCGGGAGGGAAATGAAGAACGGGTACTTGACGACTTTGCCGGCGTCTCCACGCTCACGAGAGCTGCCCGCTATGTAGGTATGTGCATTACATACAGACTACTGCTGTGTACCGCACGTGGTGGATTTCCCGCAGGCAACACGAGATTCTTTCTTCTTCTTTCTTCTTCTTTCTTCTTCTTTCTTCTTCTTTCTTCTTCTTTCTTCTTCTTGGCCCGACGAGGTTGAGCATACGGTATTCCCAATAGCGACGATGGATGACTGCTTTCTCACTGACGACGGTGCCGTCCAATAAGCGCAATAAAAATAGCACCAACGTGTGTCGGGAATAGATTGAGGGTGCGGCGTTTTGTTTTGTTTCTTTTTGGGCCCGGCACCGGGAGCGTGCTACGTAGAATGTAATATTTATATATATGTTGCGTGTGTGTGTGTGTGTGTACATGCTAGCAAACAGGAGTAACGGGCATGCGTCATACCTACCTACATTAAGCGTATATTGCGACTGGTTAGGCATGTAGACAGGCGGGCAGGCGGGCAACATCTAAATATTCCTGAGGCAGGCGATTCACTGGGCATAGCTTCAGAGCCAGCTAAGGCTCCTTCGCCCTTCGGTCCCGCCCGCCGTAGGTACATTAGCCTGCCAGTGTGTGTGACATCGCCAGAAGCTCCGGCTACTAGCCACACATCTAAGCTCGCACAGCCCCGAGCGATAGGAATACCTACCTACCTCCCCTATTAGGTAGAGAGGCATGTTAGGTGCTGATGCTACCTCCGCAGGCTGACGGATGGGGAGGATCTCGATAGCTGGGAGTCTAACTAAGAATGCACATATACGCGACGCACAGGTTATGCATGGCATCAGGAACGGTTGTCATAAACGTCCACCCCGTCAGCGAGCCAGCGTGGGAAGCAAAGGAATCACGAGTCACCTGATAGGTAGAATATACCTTAGGTACCTACCTACCTACCTGCATACTCATACGTGTACTCATACTCATACATCCCTCATACATATACATGCCTCCCCTTGCCTTCACGCGTAATGCGTGCACCGAGAGTCGGTCCCGGCGGCGCTTTGCGTCCTCAGCGACGGGAACAAACACGATCGACGAAAGTCGGTAGCGATATCCGACCACGACCGCACGGGGACGACTCTGGGTGCGGCGTCGCCAATCAGCGTACGTCGCTGGCGCAGGCGCGCAGGGGTGGGGTTGGTTGCGTACTGTACGCTAGCGTCGACTGCTGCGGTATCGAGTTAGGCGCATGCCTGGGGTCGAGGTTTCACACTCTGTACTCTTACGTACGCCTTCTCCTAGTGGTTTGGACCCTGGCGCGTCTCCCCGGCCGTGTACCTGCCTCCTCACCTTAATATGTCAGGTACCTCTCGTTGCCCGCATAGATTAATTGTGCCCGTACAGATTGCAGATCATCCCTACCCAACCCAAGAGCCTGCGGCATCCTGAGCTCTTGGTGTCGTTCGATTGGGCGAATGCTGTCGACTCGTTGTCGCACATTATTGCGTGCAGGAGACGAGTACCTCGGGTTGTCCTCTCGATGACACGGAACGTCCCCGGTGTTGTGCCACATCCCCCATGTATTGTAGGTAAATGCAGACGAGGCATGCGACTCGGGGATGCCAGGGCTCGCTACGCCCATATACGGAACGCAACACACAGCGCACAGGCAAAGAAATCATGAACTAGAACATACGGAAGTTGGGCGCCTCGGGCAGCTGAGTAAGAGGTAGGTGCCTGGGTTATGTCAGGTAGGTTAGCTAATATAAACGCACTAAACGCATCCAGAGGCAAATGTCTCGACCCACAACCACGCGAGAGCAGCTCGTCTAGACGATAGGTGCCTACAGGGGTCGACGGAGTCAACTTCCCCCCCTCCCCCCCCCTTTTCCTCTCTGCTCTCTGGAGGAGGACGCAACGCTCCGTCGTACTAAGCCGACCATTGACGAGTTTGCGAGGTGCTGCGACCCTCCCCTCCTCTCCTGGCAACCTACCTAGGTACCTACCTGAACGGGCCGCCCCTTTACCACCCAAGGCCCGTACATAAAGTACCCGGACCCGTGTTGCGAAGCCCGTAATATATGAGTAGATGAGTAGTGTGCGGAGGCGTGCACGCGTGCATTGCACACAACATAGTGCAGCCATACTATTACCTTGGGTACATAAATCCAATCCATCCGTAGATCCATGTCCCAGCCACAAAGCCGGGGGGCTCTTTGCGCGTGCGAAGTACCCCACCGCCGTTCAGGTACGCGGCCGCGCCTAGCGCCTCTGGCGTCGCCCGACGTATCGCGATCGCTGCAGGTACCTGGCGCCATCGCAATAAACTAGCCTGGGCACTTCGTACCTTGTGTCTGTTCCCCTGAACGGTGCCCCGTGCTGATTCGACCGCTATCTCGAGGCCCACAACCCACCCCCAGGCGCCCTCCCCGGCCAGCTTCCTTCCATCTTCGTCTCCTCGTCCTCCGTCCCCCTCGTCGCTCTTCCACCCGCCGTCGCTCGTTGCGTCGCACGCACTACCGCCGCCACGCCTTGTTCTCTCTCTCTCTGTCTCTCGCTTCTCTCTCTCCTTCTGTCTGTTTGTGCTGCCAAATCAACCCCCCCCCCTAGTCGGTGGTGTGCTCTCGTTTCTTCTAGGTACATGGCTCACGCCCTTCCCTCTCTAACCTCTCGTACTCTCTATCTTTCTCCTCCTCTCGGATCCCAATCATTGTTCCCCCTCTCTCCGCCTCCTCTCTACCTCTCCCCCTCGCGGCGGCGTCGCTTTCTCCCCTTCCCTTTCCCTCGCCTGCCATCCCAGCCTGCCTCTCCTTCGGGCCCATCCTTTTTCCATCCCCCTCCCGATAGGATCACTCGTCAGTGTGTCTCAATCGCCGGTCCCCAAACCGACTTCCTTACTCCCCCTGCCCTCTTCGCTCTCCCGTCTTCTCTGTCTGCTCTGCCTTCGTGCTATTCTTGACTGCCGTATTTGACATCTCGACGCTGCGGCGCAAACATTGGCATATTTCGTCCCCAGAAGGACTGACGCCACCACGACGACGTAGTTTACAGAGTAGACTACACGCTTTAGGCAAAATCGGCGAGGGAAGGCGAGAGAGGACCTGCGAGGCTCGTCGTATTGGCCGGGAACCTTCTGCCCCCCCCCCCCCCCCCCTCTCCCAACCTGCGACACCACGACCTTCAGGAGAGCGGTCGACTGTTTCCACTTCTTCCCCCCCTTTAGGGCCAGGACGGAAACATTTCTCTTCCCAGAGAACCGCCAAAACTTTGTTCTGTAGATCATCTTCGTCGTGGGCCACCATTCTAAGAATCGCGTTCTCCGCACGTCACAACCTCGCAACCAACCTAACAGCAGGCTTCGGTTCTGTTATCGGATAGCTCTAGAAGCCTCCCACTCGACCGATTGCAAGAGAAAAAAAGAAAGAAAAAAAAGGAACCCCCATTAGTTTTATTCACTTACTACTCAAGGCATTCACTGCCTGGGTCTTAATAGCCTTACTTAGTGTCCTCGACTGGTATTACAGACGACGGGAATCGACCCTACGCACTTTCGGCTACCGATTCCGGCATTATCAAGTTTCGGCTCGTCCTATCTCGACAGTCTGATCATGAACTCGTGTTAGGTGACGAATCATCTGAAGACCATTTCACCCGGTCCTATTGTCGCTCACGCCTTCTGGGTCGCCGTTCCGGGCTGGACGGGGTGTTCTAACTGAGCCATGTCGCTACCTCAACCGCCGGTGCCGCTGACGGGCGCTTGTAGCGTCCTTTACGACAACACTCTTTATTCCTACTCGGCTGCGGGATTTGAGTCGTTGGTTCTGGAGGAAGGCACCGAATGGACACAGCTGCCAGATGGTCATTCGGTTAAGGGTGGTGTTTGCGTTGGGTCGACGCCAAAGGATTCGTCCCAGGCCGGCTTCTATGTTGTCGGCGGGAAATCGAACTCGCCCGACTACCCCGGCCTCCAGAAATTCACATATTCCACCGGCAAATGGACTACTATAGCGCCGCAGGTTCCTGTCACGCAAGGTCGCGTATGGCATAGCGCGGCGTACATTAATGGCTCGGACTCGATCCTCGTCTACTCGGGGTCGACGGATGGGGAGCCGAACTTGTCTTCTCAGACTTTCACGATCGCGGCATCGGAGCCTCATACCGTGCTCGCCTTCCAGTCTACCATCTCGCCTCCCGGGGTCGCTCCGATCCTCCTTCCGTGGTCGGAAACGCAGGCAGTCATGATCGGCGGCAACCCTACTAACACGAAGGTCATGCTATTCGATCCGGCTACTTCTTGGGTCGATTCAGGCACTACCTTAGCCGAACCGTGGCCTAAAGATGCGACAACGGTGAAGGCGGCTATAATCCCCGGCGACGACGGGAGCAAGCACCTTTACAGGTTTGACCTCAGCACGTCGCCGAACATCGTCAACCGAGTAGTCATACTAGGCGCTAACGGGGCCCCGATTCCCAACGCCGCTCCTGTTGTGACCGTAGTCGCGAACCAGAAGTCTCCGAACGCGGGCGTTGAGAAACGGGACCTCACCGTGGACAACTGGCCGCAATATAACTCGACCCTCGCGCCGCAAGTCATACGAAACGGTTACTCTATCGCTTCCGACCCGAGCGGCATGGTGGTAATGGCAGGCGGAAATGACGATGAGGTACTAACCATCTTCAACGCGAGGGAGAATATGTGGATGAATGCGACGGACATGCTTGTGCAACAGGAGCGCTTTTCTATCGCGTCGACGCCGACGACTTCGTCATCGGCAACAAGCGCCACCGCTCCACCGGCAACCAGTTCCGCGGAAACTCCTACGGCGTCTGCTGCTGCCGCCCCTGTTCCCTCGAGCCCTCAGGAGAGTGGACTGTCTCCGACAACTCTCTTGGGCGTGGTGCTGGGAACTATATTTGGGTTTGCCATTCTTCTGCTGTGTTTGTTGTTCTGGCTGAAGCACATCCGCAAGCGAAAGGCCTACGCGGACGCAGCTCACTCACGGAGGGCGAGCGGAATACCCGATGAGAAAGATATACTAGGTGCTCAGGACATCGCAAAGGCATCTGGCGGACAGTTCCGGGGACACGTTCCGCAGGCCTCGACTGGATCTTTCTCGTCGATGGCTATCTTGATGGGCAAGGTTCAGAAACCCGTATTGCAACGCAAGCCGAGCGACGATTCGAGGCGGAGCTCTGTCAGCAGCATCTTCAACAAGCAATTCAAGAGCACCATCGGCCGGCCACAACCACAACCCAGCCCGACACCGGAATCGATCGCGAATGATGAAAGGGGCGTCTCCTTCCCCGCCACCACGAACCAGCCCAAACCCCGTCCTAGACCACCAGCCGGCAGAGAGGGCGAGGTGAGAAGAAGCTCAGGCTGGAACCGATACTGGTCCGGCGGCAGCGCGCTGACGATCCTCGGCTTCGGCAATAATGGCAATGCACACCGCGAGACTGCTAACTCAGAGCAGAGTTCGTTTTATTCCGATAAAAACCGTCTGACGCAGGATTCAGCCACAGTCCCTGCCCTCCACGTCGGGGCGCGGGCGGAGTTGAGTCAGGTCCATTCGAAGAGTCCGACGGTTTCGCAGTATAACCCGAAGATACGGGAGGAAATGTCGGGCCAAATCGAGAGACCGGTGTCTCGCGCTTCGTCGGGCTACTCCAGTGGCATCCCCCCTAGCGTTCACGAAAACTGGGATCCCACTTCCAAGAAGACCTGGGGGACGGAACGGGCACCGAGCAGCGCGTACAGCCAAAGCATCTACCAGACAGCTCTCGGGGCGCCGGGTCCGAGCCGACCTCCGACGGGGCTCTCGACGCAACCCCAGCTGGCCGCGCCATCTAATTCGAACGACTTGAGCTGGCTGAATTTGGGAGACAACAACAATAACAACAACAGCCCGCCGTACAGATAAAACGGCTATTTCGACTTGAAAATCGCATTCTCCTCCGCCTTGTTCCATTGCCTTGATGATTCCATTACGAGTCTACTTTCATGACCCTTGCTTTATACCCATGCTTATACACACGGAGGCAAAAGTTCTGGATTCGAATTCAGGGGCCATGTCACGAAATAGACGAGTGACCTTACCACACTAGTTGGAGGGAGAAAAGGGGTCGAAAGGAGAACAGGAATCAAATCACCTGGATACATTTCCACGGTTTGCTACGGGCTGGCTGGGCACAGCCCTGCATAAGTTATCCATACACAGAAAGCAATGATGCTACCAGAGCACACCCACCCTCGTTTGCATGGGAAAAGGCGCAGCCGCCGGAATCCTGACACCGGACAAACTGTTCGCATTCTACTCTTAACTTCTCGCATCTTGTATATCGCTCGGCGTTGCACGTCCTCTTTTTTTTTCTCCCCTCAGCGGGCGCGACCCCGTTGTTTCTCGACACGATATTCATTCAGACTATACTTCCGTTACTTGCGCCATCCGTGCCACCGGCCCACCACCTTTTCCTTACCCTTTTTTTGCATGATACCACTAGACCGCCGCGGGGCGATGGCGAATGGCCCCGAATTGTTGTGATCGATCGAATTATTCGCACTCGAGTTGCTGGTGAAGGAGACGGAGGGGGAGGGGGCGGATACGACAGTGGTGGATCTAGTTGTGTCGAAGTTGCGGTTGAATTAATGAGTGAGCAGTGGGGATAGGAGAGGACATCCCATGTATCTAAGTGTAAGGCGTGTACCTACTACCAACGGGATCTCGGCGAGATGTACATGCGTCACGTACATGCGTCCTCTCGAGGCGGCGCGCCGAATGAGACCTTCACTGTCTATATAGTAGTCTTTGGGTCGTCCCGAAAGAGATTAATATTGTACAATTATCTACATCGCGGCCCCGACCAGGGGGGAGGCGGGCTTTACTTACTGCACCGTGTCGCTTAATTCCCCCTTGTATGGCTGCCCAGCATTGGCTATTTAGCCCTTTATCGAAAAGTGCTCGGGGTCGGAGATGCACACACACACACACACACACACATATATATATGTAAGAAGTTGTGAATATTGGATGGGTATCGATTCCGATGTGCCGATGGCGCTCGCCATGTATGTCTCTCTCTGTCTCTCTGCATCCTCCCCTACCCCCCTTTTCCACAAGTCTTAGCTACCCCCTACGTTGCCGTGCTCTACATCACCTCCCTCCCCTCACCCATCTTATCACCCGTTTATCCAAAGTACGCGACCGAACGGGCCAGTAAGCCACCTTCTCCCTTATGCTCTTTTGTTTTATCGAAAAACAGGAAAAGGGAAAAAAATCTCACCTGCGTCGCAGCCGGTTAGTTGGCCGTATCGGGGTTTGGCGGCGAGCGAGGATTTCAGCCAGCCACTGCTTGCTGCTGCCGACGGCATGCTGTTTTTTCTTCTTTTTTTCTTTTTTGTCCACCTGCTACTTATCTACTTAGCTATGTCCGTACTGCTATTATTATACCTACACGCGAACGTGGAGGGGCAGCAGCAGCAGCAGCAGCAAAACACGTGATATACCACACCTGCCTACCTGCCTACCAGCACCCCGATGCTCGCCGGCATCTACCAGGTCCGCCTCGCACCGGTAGAGACGCAAAACCAGCATATATGTATATATATACTTTAAAAAAAATGAGGCAAAACCATACAACACCAGGGATTTGCTGGTCGTCACCGACCCAACTACTAATCTGGCGGATCAGCAATCGCATTGCCGCGTGGTACCTAGCCCAGACTGGCATGACTTCTCGTTATATCAGCAGTATGGAGCTTGCTTCCGCCCGTGAATACTTGCAGTGCATAGGAGAGTATAAACTTTGCGAGGGCGTGTTTATTGAAATCGTTTTCAATAAAACATCTGACCTTTTACGATTTCGTCGTGGTTAAGACGAATACGACCTTCGGCTTGAACGTGACGAGGGGAAACTTGTTACGATGACATTTGCGATGCCAATGGCAGAGGCCCACAGAGCAGGTTTAGGTGGAAAATATCGGTTGGGCTCTGCGCGATTCAAACTCACATTTGTCCGGGATGAAGCATGCCAGTTCACACACCTTATTTGGCCATTCGATGGTATCGAGATGGAATGGGCTTACGTTTCGGAAATAAAAAGCTTAGAAAATGAGAGTTGGTTCAAATGCTATGCCTAGTCCCACGTACATGTACTTTATGGAGTATTCTTTCAATTTTTTAATCCACAATAAGCCTGGTTGATTTATTTTATTTTATTATTTTATTTACTCATAGACTGTCCTAGCCGCCCTTGTGGCGACTACGCAGCGTACGACTATTAATACTAGTATTCCCACATCCCGTTTTTCGGATACAACTTTCCTCCTGCAAGAATTGCTCCGTGTTTAAACCTTAGTAAGCTATTCTTCCAAACATTGTTGTTCCGTCCACCAATCTAGGGCTGCCTGTGTTAATAGTCTTCCAGTCTGTTCTGTGTCTGTGGTCTTGTCAGGATCTGTCGGCCCTCCTTCCTCTTCTGTTTACTAAATGTCGCCCCTTGCGTTTAGTATGCGAGTACTGTGGACGGGACGGCCTTGAATTGCCCCAAGAGCCCTGTCCTAAGGATCATCTTTGCTGCTTGTACTGCCATGGTCGAGCTACAGAGAATGCGCTTGACGCCCACACATGGTTGCTTGCCTGCCCACATCCGGCGTCGTTCGTCGGCCCAGTCGCGGCATTGCAAGAGAATGTGTCGTACAGACTGCGTTCTGTGGCCGCATTGGCATTGGTCGGTGTCGGTCTTGTTGATGGGGTGGAGGTAGGCGCGGAGGCCGACCTTGCCGATGCGCATTTGTGTGATCACCGAGCCGATCGCGCGGTGCGTTCCGATGTGGGTTTTGAGTGTCGCTTTGCCCGGGCGGACTCCTAGTCGAAAGAGCTCCCTTCCATGTTTGGCCGTCTCTCACGACTTTTCCCACTCTCGCTGCATGGCTTAGCGGATCGAGAGTTTTGCGGTCGCTATAAGGATCTGTGGTGCTGGTTGTTGGGAGTTGGCGTGTGAGCTAGCTGCTTCTTCAGCGGCCTGATCGGCCCATTCGTATGCTAGGTAACGAGGTTGAAACGGACATGATTCTCTGAATGTAGGGTGGATTAAGGCAAGGGGTTTGAAACGGACGTTTTAAGGTCATGGGGAGTAGCTTCGGGGTGTGTTTTCTGATACCTTTAAATAAGCGAGTTGCAATTAGGTAGAGTAAGCTGAAGAGTATGATAACTAACTCATTCCACAGTTCAATCTGAACATCATATCTTTCCTTGGCATAGTCTAAGATACCCCGTGGGACGTGTAACGATCAGACTGTCGGATAACCAAAGGTCTGGTGTCTGGGTTTGTGTTAGTGGTGAGTCGGTAGTAAAGGCAGTACTAGAAGGCTGGGGATCGTGCACTAAGGCCACAATACAGTAATACAGTTTGAGGTAAGGTTGTAGTCAAAGCGTGTATTGAAACCACCAAAGTTGTCCGTATTGAGAACAGGCGTTGATAGCTGCAGAAGGGTTTCTGAGTTATCCTAAATACATAGGGGAATGATCAATCTTATCGAAAGCCTTCGCTTGAGGATCCACCTTGCATGTATAGGCGTCCATGGGCGTGGGATATGCTTGGAATAACTTCAATTCAGCTAATAATTCTATAGGGGGTCTCTTGGTCCTTGGCCTTCTCTGGGCTCCCTCTAGTTACCCGGCCGACCTAACATATCTTTAAGGTACCTTCGCACCTTGTATCCAAGTGTCCTGGCACCTAAGTATCTCCCGCGGATATCCACGCTTATCTAGGACTTCTCTTGGCAGGTTGCTGTACCGGCGACCTTGCTGCCTTACTCGTCTGATGTCTGCCTAATATCGTCCTCCTGACCTGCTGTGTTGGCACTGGGCTGCATCTCTGTGTGACAGGTTGTCATAGAATATCCACGTAAGGAATCATACTGTCCATATCCATAGCTAAACTATTACCTGATAACGTATGATTCTTGCACAAGTACGTATGCATGTGTGTACATCTATTTTAGCAAATCTTTTGTTAGCCATTTCTCTATGCGTTTTATTTGGAGGTTTTCGTACGGCCAGTCCCCATCGAGACGAGGCTTGAAAATGATAAATATCTCTAGTGACCCCGATCCTCACAGTTTTATGTGTGCTCATAGGAGCGGATAAAAACCAAGCCCAAACACTTCACTCTGCCGTCTCATGCATTCATAATAGTACATATCTATGTACTGACTTCGCTATCATGCCTCTTTGCCCCCCATGCAAGAGGGTTCTCTCCAATAACCTCCTGGCCAATATTTCAAAGGAATTCTGCGAGATTCACCATGAGACCTTCCAGTCATTCACAGATGCCATTCGTTCGCAGTGCGCCCTATGCTCCTCTCTTCTTGTTCGTTGCATCCGGGAAGGTCATTTGACACCTCCTTACCTGAGAAAGATTCTTATGGGCTTGTCTACTACACCTGATGCCATGGAAGCTGTGAGGGAACTTCGTGAAAATCACACTCAGAAACCTCCTATCTCCTCACCGGATGGGAGTTGCCAACAACCTGTCGTGAGCGAAACTGTCGGCGAGGTCGAGTGGATCATGGTCAACTGTATGTCTGGTATCATCAGAGTTCATCGGAGATCCTATGGGAGGGGTTGTTTTACCCAAGACATTACATTCCGCGTAGTGGTGGTATTACTCAACTCCAATACGCATGAGCAAAAAAAGGATAGGTTCGAACATACAATCAAAATATCTGGTCAGGATATACAATCTTCAACCGAATCCATTTCGCTAGAATCCATCAAGGGGAATGTGGCGGAACAAATTGGACCTAATCAAAGCAAAGAAGCACTCTGGAAAAACATTCGATTCTGTGCAGACGAATGTGACGGGGGACACCATCGGCGCTGCCCGCGGGTAGACATATTACAAAACGACAATATGTTTGTCCCTTCCCGCCTTGTCGAAATTTCTACAAATGATTGGGATGTGGATTCGCCAGATCATAAGCTACACGCCCGTCTTGTGACCCGTGCAGAGGTATTGGCAAAAGATGCCTTGCCCCGATATGTGGCACTCAGCCACCGTTGGGGGACTCAGCAACTTGCAAAACTTACCACGGATAATATCGGCGACTATTACACAGAGATACCCCTGACATCGGTTTCTAAGACGTTTCAAGACAGCTTTCTCGTCACAAGGAAGCTTGGGATATCTTATATTTGGATTGACTCGCTTTGCATCATTCAAGAAGGAGATGCTGAAGACTGGAAAAGAGAAGCAATTACTATGTGCGATGTGTATACTCATGCATACTGCACCATAGCGGGGCACTGGACTGATGAGAATCATGGTCTGCTTGACACAAGAGACCCAACTTGGCTTACTACCGAGACCGAGGCCCTAGATCTGAAGAGATTTGACAGCGAATCCGTTGAGAGATGTCTCATATCTATCAACCACCGCTTCAACCACACTGCAAAATCCCTAGTCATTTCTCCTCTCTCCAAACGCGGCTGGGTCTTGCAAGAGCAAGTGTTGTCCCGACGAATTCTCCACTTCACGATGAAGGAGGTGATATGGGAATGTGCTAGTGGGTTCTTTCGTGAACCTATGCTAGGTTCAGACTTCCAGTCTGTGAGGGAATTATCTACTTTTTCTATTGATTTAGTAGATGATATAACTCATGCCTTGAAGGAAGATTTCGTGTATCATCGCCGGGATACTACCAACTTCTTGAAAAGATGGTATCAACTTGTCGAAGCCTATAGTACCCGGAATCTCACAAAAGCTACCGACAGACTTCATGCGATCGCTGGAATGGTCCAAAAGATTGCGATGTATATGCCTAACGAGAACATCTACATTTTGGGTCACTGGAAGGATGAACTTTTGCTAAGCTTGACGTGGCAAGTTCTCACGAATAAACATACATACGAGACCTGGTCTAGGACGGTTCCGAATGTGCCTAGTTTCTCATGGGCTTCTATATCGCCTGGTTCGGACATTCATTTCGCCTTGCACCATCACCTCCGAGTTGGGTATGAAGAGATGGAACCGGTTGTTGGCCCTATCCATTTCGTTTGGGGTCATGAAAACTCAGAAAGTAAAAGCGGCGAGGTCAATGAAACATTGCTCACGTGGGATTCTGCACAACGCGTCAAGCTCAGAGTAACCGGTCAACTATGTCCTATCCGATTCGTCTTCGATACATCTGTTGAGAAGTGTACCCTGCACATTTCCGAGGAGAGGGCACTTCTTTACCTTGGCAAATCTGATCTTGCGAGTCTGATCAGTCCTGGTCCAGACCAGAAACAACTTCTCTATTCGCTGGAACGATTTGGCTCGGATCCGTTTGTTTTTTGCAGCATCAAGTTCGATTTTGACCCTGAACAAGACGGAAAGTTCAATGACGATTTCACGAAGCAACCTTTTTATTATGTTCCCCTTGCACATAGTCCGCAAGAACTATGGTTACTATTGCTCATCCCCGTCGATATTGGGCAACGAACATTCCGTCGTGCTGGGGTAGTTTTGGCCGACCAGACCACGCACAGAGACCAAACAGAGCCTGACACTCCGAGTACTATAACAAGGATGTCAGAAATTGGTAGAAATAATGTGTTGACCGGGATACCTCCTTTCATCGAGATTGAGCAACAAAAGTTGCATAATGCTAGGGAAGTTTCAAAAGGCAAGACCACACCTAAAGACCTAGAGGGGCTTGACTTTCAGGGCGGTATAAGGAGCATCGCAAACTTGGGCAAGTCATCAACCGGGATATATCTACCTGGGGGCAACTATGATCCAACAACAGGAAATCAGGAATTTTTCATCGTCTAGGTGGTTTCAATATAAGTAAACGTCACGTAGAGGTTGCGCCTCTTCGTTGCTTACCTCAGCAACAGGAGCTCCTATATATACGCTCCCGTTGCTTCCATTCCTTTAGCTAGTTCTTAGATAGAACAAGACCTTTTCCCTTCCTTTGCTCCTCCTCCCGTTGCTCGTGAGATAGCTCCTCGCGCGCGCTCACGCACCAGTGGAGAGCGATACGTGTAGCTGGGCCCACGGGGCGCGCACAGGGCGGTACTGGCTTAGCCGCATCACGCGCGTCGGCCTGGTCGGGTCTACGCAGGTGCTTCGGCGGCGGCGGAGGGATGGGATGAGATGGGGCGGCCTGGGCGAGGGGTGGAGGATGGAGGGGAGTGTCTGTCTGTCTTACCCTCCCTGCCCCAGTCGACCCCGCGGCGGCTGGAGAGTCGTACGTACATGGGGCGAGGGCGCCGTTCAGCCAGCCAGCTTAGCTTGGCTAGCTGACAGACAGACAGACAGACGCCCCGATCGATCCCCCACACGGACCGGAGACCCAGAACGCCGTGAGGAGAGAAGGAGGGTGGCGCTCCGAGACACGCCGTCCCGTCCCGGCCCCGCGTCGAGCGAGGTCTAGTTTACTGTCTAGCTACAAAGTACGTACCACTGCTGATCACGTAGTAGGTAAAGTAGGTAGATAGGTAAGCAACAGCGGTAAAAAATGAGTTCAACAGTACGACTAAGAAAAGTACACGCAGCGGCAGCGGCAGCGGTGGCAGCCGACCGAGAATCGACAGGTAATAAGCCCCGAACGCCGTCCCACCCGACCAGACGAGGTGACAACAACAGAAAAGTAGAGAGACGGCGGCGGTGACAGCGACGAGCAGATACATAGACAGCCAGCCTTCCTTTCTTTTCCCTTCCCCTGGGTAGCGCCGTAAAACCCCGTCTAAGCAGAATCTTCCTACCGACCATCCCTCTCTTTCCTTTCTTTATTTACTTCCCCCATCCCCTGTTTCCTCGGTGGGATCTTACTCTCTAGTAAATAGGCCTCGACTCTTCCCACTTCGGGCGCCTAGCGGCGGCAGCTGCTGCAGCATCGCCGCCGGCCGCGGCTGCGGCTGCGGCCCCAGGACCCGCACTCTTCCTCCTCCGAAGCCACGAGTTCGCCCGGTCGCCGGCGACGGGGGCACTGCCACCAGTGCCGCCGCCGATGGGGCCGATCCACTCCCAGGCGCGGCCGACCTCGCCGCTGCGGCTCTCGCGCTGGCTCGTGCGCACGTTGCTGTTTTGCTCGACGACGGCGCGCACGCGGCCCCAGATGCGGTCGCGCTGGCGCAGCGAGTGCACGGACCGGAGCACGTCGTCGCGGAGGTTCGGCAGGAAGAGCCAGGGTTCGACGGCGGCGTCGTCCTCGCCGTCCTCGCCGTCGCCGCCCAGCCGCTTCTGGGTCGCGAGCCGCTCGAGCACGAGGTCGACGAGCCCCGGGACCTGCGCCGCCGCGGCGCGGTGCGCGCGATACTGGGACCGCGCGTACAGCACGGTGAGCGCCGCCGCGATCACGAAGCTAATATGGAGTCGATATCGGGCCAGTCCGAGTCGGACCGATCGCCGGATGGCGCAGGCGACTGGAATTCGAGCGAGAGAGGTGGACGATAGGTAGGTATTTGGAATACCTCCGGGATCGGCGTCTCTATGGGCTCGGGGGGTTCACTGGTTAGTTGGATCGTCAGAAACGTGTGGACTTGTGGCACCAACGCCTCCTTCCACGTACTCGGTTTGTGATACAGGCAAGGAGATGGGATGTAGGGGCGCGTGCGGTCACATAGGCGAGTGAAGTATTGCTAGAAGATAAGGAGATGCTGACGGGACTTACTTTTTGACTTCGGTCTGGACTTCGTCTCTGGCTTTGATCTCCCCGAGGGCGGCGCCCCAGAGGTCGTCAAACTCTTGGTTGTTCATCTTCTTGCTTCTCTTGTTGTCGATGATCAGCTTCAGTTCTTGCTCCTCGATCGCCGGCGTCTCGAGCCTCGTGCCTTCCTCATCGATAGGCTCACCGCATTCATACTTGGCTGCTCGGTCTCGAAGTTCCTCGATGGCTCTATCGGCCACGGCTTGGACTCGGCGGACCTTCTCGCCGTCGGGCTCGCAGGTCGGGGGCCAAGGGATAATACCGCCGAGCGAGAGGGGGTGGGGCTTGAGAATATAATCCTGCTCGCAGCGGACCGAGTAATCCGCGTAGCAGTAAGCATGAGGGGGGCAAGGCTCGCACTCGGGCTCCAGAGTATCTATGACGGACTGTGGAACCTTGACTTGGGGCGGGAGGACCGACTGCGCCCATTCTGGGACGTCAATCTCGCTCGGAATCGAGCTACCCAGACGTCCCACGCCGCAGTAGCCCACAGCGATCTTCTCCTGCCGGTACCATCCGGCATAGACACTAAGAAGGGTAACAAAGAAAATAGAAAGGATCATGCCAAAGCCGGGCCCACCTGGTTGTCGAGGCTGCCTGGCCGGAGCAGAGGGTTCGGTGTCGGTCTGAATGGCCTCCTCCGCTGCGAGTTCGAGTTGTTCCTCGGGTGTGAATTCCTCCCCAACCTCGAGCACGGGGGAGTCGGGCGTCTTGAAGAGTGCACCCTGCTTCGCGGGAATCCCGAAGTTCTGGGGCGGAATGGGTGGGCTAGGACGATGATCTCTGGGGATAGCGTAGCTTTCTGTATGATGTTGCGCACCGCTGCTCGTGCTTCTTAATTTCTCGGGTCCGGCTGTCCTGCGGCGGCTTGTTGGAGTCTTGTCTACGAATGACGGCGAGCTACTGCTCTGGAACGGGTTGTCGTTGGTAAAGACGCCGGAGGTTCGCCGGAAGAAACCCTCGTCGGAATCTTCGGTCTTGAGTTGGGGTGCGGCAAAAGGCTGCGGAGGCGGAGGCATAGGCTGAGGAACAGGCTGAGGAACAGGCGGTTCGACAGATGGCCGTGTGCGTCTTAGAGTGGTGCTACCATCCAACTCCGGGCCGGTGTCCGTATCGGAAGCCTGAACCTGGCGGCTAGTCGCTCGGGACTTCCGCTTGGTGGGGCTCGCGGCCCGAGGCGGCATCTGCTGGTGGTCGGGCTCCTCAGACTTGATCCTCGTCGATGCCTTCCTAGGCGATCGGGACCGACGAGTGCTAGGGGGTGGCGGCGCGAGCTCCTCATGCTCCTCAAAGGGGTTGCCGCCGCCTTCAACCTCGGCATCGACGATGCCTTTGCTCGATCGCTTTGCTCGCGCACGGGCAGCCAGTATCTTCTTGGACTGGGGGACAATCTGTTCGTTGAAGATCTCGATCAGCTGCGCCTTCTTCGCGCTCGAAGAATAAGGCACATTGTAGGCCACGAGGATGGATCGCAAGCGCGGGATGGTCAGGGATTTCGGGTCGAAGCCCGGCTGGAGGTAGTCGAGACTTTCTGAGTCGGACATCCTTTGAATATCTCGCGAGTAGCCAGCTAGCGATTCTAGAGAATGGTCATTCGGCGACAGGTTGAGATTGACAGGAATGAAGAGGAGAATAGGCAGGCAGCAGGCCAGGGATGTGGGCAAGTTGTAGGCAGACTAGGCAGAGAGACAGCAATGCCTTTTTTTTCTCTTAGTGGCCTGTGCGCGACCGGCACCTGAGGCTGCTACGGAGGGTCCCCGTAACCAAAAGATGTCAGTCTAAGACACGCCTACGCCTCACTTCGGTGTTGTTGATGACGTCGAAGCTGGGCGACGGCGAGACAGTGTAGCTGGGCACCTTCTCGAAGCATGCAACGTAGGCAGGGCTGATAGGAGCGGATCGGAAGATGGACGCCCTCACCAGAAAGACGCGCACGGCGGGAAAAGCGTAGGGTGGATGATGAGACGGATGATGGATGGATCGATGGATGGAGGTGGAGAAGCGATGGGTGGTTTGTGTTGACGGAAAGAGTTGAACAAGTTGGAAATTCTGGTTGCAGTGGCAACAAGCGACAACCTTGGGAGCTGCGCGATATGCCGAGAACAACAACGCAACCAGATCTCAGGTAAGGTAATAAACCAGCTAATCATATGCGCCTATCGCTCTATCCGTAGGCGCGCACCAGAGTTATGTACCGCATGTATGCGCATACCGGATGATTACCACATCTTGGGTCTACCGGAGGATTATCATCGGGTAATTTCCGTCCTCCGGTGCTAACTTAACCAACCACAGTTACCTATCCCTACGCGTACATACCTGTATGTACCTATGTACCGAGTTACGTATATACTCATACATCTTTATATGCATCAATACGTAAACATGTAGGTACCTACACAACTCGGTCTGGGCAATATGTAGGAACCATACCGGTTTCGCAGAGAACTGCAGGTGCTTAGGCCAAAGTATGCACCACTACTAGTAGGTGAGGTAGGTACCTAATATAGCAAAGGCACCTAAGGTATCCATCCACCCAGCATAACCTTGCTAGGTGGGTTCGAGGCATCGCATAGATCAACACGTAGTTGTGGATAGTAGGTATTAGGTTTTAAAATTTTTTTTCCCTTCATCGCGAGCAATCCCGAAACAACACCTAACCGGTTCGAAAGGTAACGCCGGACTTGAGGGCCATTTTCCCTACGTATCCCCATGCTAGCAGGCTCGATGGTTATATATATATATAGCAGATTAATAGGGGTAGTATACAAAGTTGACAACCCGTCAGATGTAGAACTCATATACCTATATACACCCCATACCAAAATAGGTAGATATATATATAGATAGCGTCTCGTAAGATATAATATCAATAGCTCGCTTCCCTCCTCCCCATCTCGGTACCCTTTCAAGTCGTAGGCTGTCAGACAACGTACCCCCTCCCTATCGTTATACATAAGAGGCAGCACATTTTCGTTTACATTACGTTTAGGTGAGGCAGGTACTCACTATCTAGGCAGGTTCCTATTACGTTTCCCTCCCCATACCTCTTTTGTCGCCTTGATAGCCTGTTCTCCGCCTCTGAGTCGGTCTGTCTCTGCCGTGGCAGCAGCGAAAAGAGGAAAATACTAGTGTGTCGTCCACAGGTCCGTGTAAGGAAACCCTAACACCCACACGCGCACACGCTCTCGCTGGACTCCTCAACAACTGGCAACGTGTCGGGCCGGCTCAACCTGCCGTCGCTTTCGCCTCCAGTTTCTTCTCCGCCTCGTCCGCCCTCCTATTTGCCTCTGCTATTTCTTGTTGCAGCTGCTTGATGTAGACGATGGCCAGCTCCACGGTGCTGGCCTTGCTATTCGGCGTGTTGGATGGCTTGCCGTCTTTCTTGTCCCCGTTCCCGCCCTCGCCGTCCCCTTCGCTCAGCTCCTTGGCCACGCTCTTGGGCAGCAGCGTCGCAATCTCCTGTAGCGCCGAGTTGATGCGGTTTCGGCGGCCTTGTTCGGCAATCTTGTGCGAAGTCCGCTTCGAGGTTAGGTTCGTAGATAGCTCGCTGGGGTAGGAAACCCCCGGTACCGTGTTCCCTTCCAATATGTTTTGGTAATTCGACTTGGAGGCTAGCAGTCTCGAGGCTGAGTCTTCGGCTGACATGCCCGGCGTCCCCGGAAGCAGCGGCTTGATATTCGGTGATATTTTGGGCCGAAGAGCCGGTGAGATAGAACTGATGCTCCCTCTCTTCTTGGGGCCCCTCGGTGCTATTAGCGGCGTCTTCCGAGGGTTAGGTGTCGATCTCGGTGTTAATTGCGGACTGGGGTTTGCCGATACCGAGGTCGAAGGCGTCGGCTTAGGGAGAACGGGAGACGGCAGGGGTTGGAAGGTAGAAGTCTTTACCGGCTCCGCCTCCGGAGCCGGCTGCGGCGGTTTCTGAACGTCTACCGTGGGATTATTTTGCTTCGAGAAGTTGACGGACTCGGGGAGCTCGAAGCTTTCTATGTGTTCCGAGCCACTTTGCTCGGGGTGGTTAGGATCAGCCGACTTGCTCTTCGGCGAAATTCTGAAGAGGGAGGCCGGCGTCGCGGGCGACGGTTTGCCGGCGAGAGAGCCCGGCAATGCTAAAGGGGGTGCGCTTCCGTTGGTCTGCGCCTGGATGTACGGGGATTGCCTAGCCGAGCGGGGGGGTGGGAGCGGAGGAGGCGGCATATCGGATAGTGCCTCCGGAGACACCGAGGCGTTTTCCGACTCCTCTGTCGACGCCGCCGAACTCGACTTGGGCTTGGGTGGGTCTTCGGAATTCTCAGCTGCCGATTCGGCTAGTTCGCTCAACACCTGCGCGTTGATTACCGGGGTCGAGGCGGGTTTCCGCCGTTGGGGCTTCGTGATGGGAGATTGCCGCACGTTTGGTTTTCTCGTCTTACTAGCGTTGCTCTTTCGCGGCTTCTTCGATAAATTCCCGCCGTTATTTACGGCCGGGGAGGGCTCGATGTCCATCTCCACCGGGGAATTAGTGGTATGGCCTGAGTGCCTGTGGTCGAATGCCCCCGCGGGCTCATTCTGGGCATGTAGTGCGGGCGAGGTCAACGGACTGAAGTACGGCCCCGGGTGGGAGAAGCCGGCATCCACCGGGAAATGAGGCTCGAGGGGCGTCACCGCGGGCGATACTAGCGGGGTGAATGCCATCTGCTTGGACGGTTAGCCAATGATACCTTGCGCATCGCAGAAGGGCGTACGACGTGCCTCTTGTTGCTCCTTGAGATGTTGATATCCGTCGAACATGCCCGAAGAATTTGTCTGGTCCGGCTGGCTATAAAATCGATTCGCCGCCTGCATCTCCAGGCTCTGCGGTGTCGGCGGTACGATATTTCGCTGCTGTTGCTGGGCGAAGAAAGCGGCCTGCTGCTCATGATACTGCCTCTGCTGCTCGGCAAACTGCCTCCTTTGTTGATGTATCCTCTGCTGCTGCAGGTACTGGATCTGAGCGTCTATCTCGGAAATGGGGTCGGATGAGGTAGGATGCGGAGCCATCATCTGCGCCGATATGCCCGCGTGGTTCGGGGCAGACGTCATCGGGGAGAGCTGGCTCTGCTGCCCCATGTCGCTCCTCGCGATGATCGTGGACACGGTTGAATTGGTCATCGGGGTGTCGATGGAGTCGTCGTGAGGTTGGTGCATCATCGGCGCGCCACTAGGGCCATTGAAGCTGTCGAAGTCGAATTGCATACCATCCCCCAAATTCGACATGCCCCCCATCTCGAGAAACTGCTGGAAGTCATCCTCGTTGGCCGAAGACAGAGACTGGTCTTGCCCGTTCCAACCGTTCGGGTCCATCATAGCCATGATTGGCGGCGGCGGCAGCGGTTCGCCGGACGAGGTTGGTGGAAGCAGACGTAGGAGCGATCGGCGATTGCCTCGAAATTCGCAAACTCGTGGCGCTCGACTCGTTAACCGCTGCGCCGCAAACGTCGCCCACCACTCCCAGGCGGCTTTCCGACGGTACTGTGCTGCACGGGTATTGTAGACACGACGATCGCGCAGGATAATAAGGATCGCGAGGTTGGTTATCGCATTTTTTTTTTCCTTTTCCTAGTTGGAGAGGGGAGAAGAGGCGGCGCAGAAGCGTTGGGTAGAATCTGCTGGCGGATTTGCCGGATCCTGTCTCGACAGCAGAGAGAGCCGACGTGTCGAAGCCCACGCAACCGGCGACAGGACTAGCGTAGACAGAGAGGCAAGCTAGAGGGCTAGGCGCAAGGGCAGAGTCGCGGGCCGAGTAGAGAAGCTCACTTTAGCATACCACGCTCGTGGCTCCGTCAGAATGTCGGGTCAGGATATGGGCGGTTCCGAATCGGGGCCAGGTGACTGAGGAGTTGTCGCCGACAGCGAAGTCGAGGAAAAAAGGCGAGCGAGGGACGGGCGAGGAGATGGTGGGGGATCGCATTGGTACGAGGTGACTGGCCAGACCGGGTTAGCCACAGCGACAGGGACCGGGGCCAGTGCTGTGCTGGATCAGCGCATAAGTCGAGTTAGTGGACATGCATGGCCAGGGTTGGAAAGTTCGCAGTGCGCAGGTGACGGCCTCAGCGCTGCCCGGGGTCGCACATGCAGCTAAACCGACTTCCGCCCCAGGATGGAGACGAGGAACCTTATGAAGTATATAGGTACATACAAACCTGCGTACTGGAAGTAAAGGTACCTACCTGCATAAGGTAATGCGTGTAGAATGCATGTATAGTGGAAACCCCAGAGCCCACTCTCTCCCCTCCTCTCACGTCTTTTGCTTTTCCTTCTCCCCGCTCTCTCCCCCCCCTTCCCACATTTCATAGGTTAGGTACCGAACGTATGCGCGCACATATGCACACACATATACACCCACACATTTAGGTATCCCTATAGGTAGGCATCTACCTACCTAGACCTACCTATATATTAGGTGCCTAAGGCAGTGTGAGGCGGGCGGTAAGCCTGTACGGGGGCAGGTATGTACCTATGTCTGTGCACACAATACCTCGTAGTTCTTCGCCCTCAGGCTTCAAGGCTCCGTCTCTTTGTGCCCTACACCCGCTACGTCGGGGTACCTCGGGTTCATGCCTATTTGTAATATATACCTACCTACCTCACACTTTACGTCTCTAATGCTTCCCTCACTTTCCGACAATGTCCGTGGATATGTAGTATACGTGCCTATTGCAGGTATGTACGTAGGATGTGTGTTAGTGACCGACGAGAAATGTACACCCTCCCCAGGTGCCCCCGCGGCCTGGCTACCTACCTGTATGCAGCAGTACCTATGAGTATGCAGCTAGCCAGCTACGTAGTAGACAGGCTGGTTATGTACCCGAGCTATGAGACCCGTCGATAACGCGGCTAGAGAAAATCGATGTCACTATAGCGCAGCAAAGTACCTGGGGGGGTGGAGACGTGGGACAGGATGCAGAGTGTGCAACCGAGTTGGTCTGCAGGCAGATTTATGTAGGTACCTTTGCTGGGCATGCAACTCACTCCCTGAGGTGGATACGTAAATAGACCCAACCGTGAGAAAGAAGCTATTAGGAGCTCTTCCATGTCGGTGGTGGGCTTCCATCGGTTGTCCCCAACCGTCTTATAAGATGCCCGATTAAAGGCCACAAGAGAGAGGAGGGGAGAGGGCCACAGCATGCTGGTTGGCCGAGACCCCTCACTCATTCGTACCTAAGGTGAGGTCGCGTATGTACCTAACATATAGGTAGAGTCGAGCCAATCAAGTTGAGCTACACTACGCTAGCATTCATCGTCGTTCGTGGGTAGTTTTGTTGTCGATGTCATCTTATCAACCTCATCATTTTCACACCACGAACGTCGCAGTCCATAATGAATTGGCCCGCTTGCCTCGGTCACCACTGATTTACTAGCCCGCTGGCCTGGTCGGACCCGACCTTGACGTTTGGGTTAAAATAGCCTGCTGCGAAGGAAACTGGTTCCGAAGCGAAGAGAAAGAAAAAAAATAGAATTATCTTTTCAAAAGTTAACTTCATCATTCGGTCGCTTCGCTATGAACCCCCAACGGCGTACGTAAAAGAAACGACTTAGCCGGAACCTCAAACGAGACGCCAAACAAACTCTCCCTCCTGCCTTCATGGAGGATTCGCAGCATCGACGGGACGCGACAGCATATTCCCCTCCCGGCGCTGGCGTCGAGCTGGGTGCTGACGGATGAACGACAGTACTCGGAGATGCATCGCTTCAACCTTGGGTCATTTTTCGCATATGCCGTCTTCGAGCCTGCTCTCGCGCTTCTAGACGGATAAGGTCTTGCGGGGCCGTTGTCGCACATGCATGCGCGCCATGCACAGTGCATAGTACGATAGGCACGTCTAACGGCCTACAGTGGGGGTCGTTGGTGGTGAACCATCCCGGAAGGGGCAGGAAGCCGAATCAGTCCTGGGAGCGGGGGATTCGATGGATGAGACCTTAGGGTTACTGTTCGTCAGATCCTTAGCCGGCGAAACCCACTCCAGCTTGCTTCGACCTCTCGAGAGAGGTTAGGGAGCCAGGGCCTGCTACCCGATGCCGATTTGGCCGCCTCGGCACCTCGCCGGGGGGCCTAGTCCCTCTCTATACGTAACCGAAGTATACAGCGACTTCGCGCGCTGGGGCAGGTAGAGAGACAAGGATAAAAAAAGATGTGCCTAACGGTCGCGAGATTAACAGATCTGGTGATACGGCGTAGACAACCCAGCGCCGACTAGAAACGCCAGCAGGAGATCCGGACCCTCGGGATGGACATTGTGCATCTGATCAGCCTAGGCGTGCTGCTGACCGAGGCACCAGTTCAGCAGGTCACTACCGTCATCACGATCCGGGGCACAACCCGGAGCCTATCACGACGCGCGAGTTTGCAAGGCCATAAAAGCCGTGTGCTTTCTGACAGGACATGTAATTCCATGGTAGGTGGAGGGTTGGCAAAGCCAGGGCGAAGGCTAATAGCCTAGACTTCCGAACTAAGTACTATTATACGGTTGGTAGGCATATTCTAGATGTGAGAGGGCGGATAGTTGCATACCATCGATTAACCTATGCCTTTATGGCCATACCGCGAGACGCCGACGAATCAATGTGTCTCTTCCAAACTATGCAACTATTGATTGTTACCCAAGGTACGTACGGGGCGTGTAGGCACTACGTACCTTGCAGTATATTTATGTCTGATGACTCTCGGCCATTGCACAACGCGATGCTACCACTCGTCATCTGGGAGCATTATCCGCCAAGCCTCTCGACGCCGTCCCAGCGACCTCATGACTCTCGAGTGACACCATACCTCTTCGGTGCGACGAGGGAGCGACTATGGATCCGATAGCGAGCCAAGCCGAGCAGCTACGCCGGCGCATCTCGCAAGCCGAGCGAGAACTCCGGGACCTGCACCGGCAGCTCGACGAGCTCGAGGCGCCGGCTCGGGATCCGCCCGCGCACCAAGACGCGCCAGACCCCGCCGCCGCCGCCGCTGCGCGGCCCGAGTGGAAGTGGCCTCTCAGCGAGGAGGAGTACGTCCGGTACGGGCGGCAGCTGGTGCTGCCCGCGGTCGGGGTCGAGGGCCAGCTGCGGCTGCGGGCGGCGGCGGTGCTGGTCGTTGGCGCGGGGGGGCTGGGGTGCCCGGCGGCGGCGTACCTGGCGGGGGCGGGCGTGGGCGCGCTCGGCGTCGTCGACGGCGACACCGTCGAGGCGTCGAACCTGCACCGCCAGATCGCGCACGGCGCCGCCGGCGTCGGCGCCGCCAAGGCCGACAGCCTCGTCGCCTACTGCCGCGCGCTCAACCCGCTCGTCGCCTACGCCTCCCACCGCGGCCACCTCACGCCCGAGAACGCCGAGGCCGTCGTCTCGCCCTACGACCTCGTCCTCGACTGCACCGACCACCCCACCTCGCGCTACCTCATCTCCGACATCTGCGTCCTGCTGCGCAAGCCCCTCGTGTCCGCCTCCGCGCTGCGGACCGACGGCCAGCTCATCGTCCTCAACAACCCGCCCGCCCCGCAGGGCGAGCCGGCCGGCGGGCCCTGCTACCGCTGCGTCTTCCCGAAGCCGCCCCCCGCCGACGGCGTGCTCAGCTGCGGCGAAGGCGGCATCCTGGGGCCGGTCGTCGGCGTCATGGGCGTGCTCCAAGCCCTGGAAGCCATCAAGCTGATCGTCGGCGGGGTGTGCGACCGCGCCAGCTCAGCCCCGCGAGAGCCAGCGGCGCCGCCGGGTCTGCTTCTCTTCTCTGCGACGGCCGCGGCGCCGTTCCGGTCGGTTCGCATGAGAGGCCGGAGATCCGACTGCTTCGCCTGCTCTGCCGGCTCGAGCTTGACTCTGGGGGGGCTACGGTCGGGCTCGTTGGATTACGTCCAGTTCTGCGGGGTAGCGGCGCCCGTCAGCGTGCTGGCGCCCGAGGAGAGGATCTCTGCTACGGAGTACAATAACATTTTGACAGAGCAGCCGGGCAGGAAACACCTATTATTAGACGTCCGCGAGAAAGAACATTTCAAAATTGCTAGTATACCGGGAGCTATCAACGTGCCATATTCAACCATCCGGTTCCGCAACCGGGCATCTACCCCTGATAGCGAAAAGCCGCAGGTAGAATACATCCCCGAGTCTCTGCCGGCTAATGCCGCCATATACGTCGTCTGTCGGGTAGGGAACGACTCTCAGCTAGCGACACGGCGATTGAAAGAGTTGGGCCTGGGCAGAAACGGGGAACGATTCATAGGTGACATCAAAGGCGGGATGCAAGCTTGGAAACGCGAAGTTGACTATACGATGCCGTTTACATGATAATTCTCACATACTCGCGCCCCTACAGTGATGCGGTTCTGTACTTCGACGCCAGTGCGGGGAAGAGGTGATTGCATTCCGAATCCATCCCAATTCCTGTTTCTGTTGGTACATTATAGGGGGAGTGACCCTTAACGCCAATCCGTTGATATCTGCAACTGTTTTTTTTTACGGTGGGATGTACTCTCTCAATATCAGGACATGAAAACTCGTAAGGGGGTTTGTAAATTCTCTTCACCTGTACCCCGACAACCTTCCGGAAGGCCGTTCTCTGCCATTAGACGAAGCTGGTGCGCTTCTTGTTGAACGCTCTTTGGTCTTTCAACCATTGTCTATAGCCTGCTACGCTCGAGATCTTCTCGCCGTAGAAATCGGGAACTAGATGTGCGAAGTAATCGTTAGCGCGGACCTCGTTTTATTGGTCTTCTGCTTTTTCTTCCGGTCCTCCCTTGTTGGGAGAGCCGCCCCGCAGGCTCTAGGAAGAAGATTGAGACTTACCGGCGTTGCCGCTCAGCGAGCTGTTGCTAGGATCGACCCTGTGCTTCTTGATACGCGCGAAGAATTCAGACTCCTTGACGGCCATGGGCTTCTTGACGCCGCGCTTGAAGAGGTAGAAGAGAGAGGAGCCGAGACTGGGGCCGGCGAGCCAGCCGAGCCCGGAGAAGCTGAGGGTGATGATGCCGAGAGCGAAGAAGGGGTCCATGGGGACCCTATTCAACAGCCAATCCATGTCCACGTTGACGAGCAACATGGCGCCGCCGGTGCCGCCGACCGCCATGGTGAAGAGGCTGCTGACGACCTGGAAGCGTCGGCGCGTCTTTCGCAGGGTGAAGAAGGCGTTCCAGTCGAGTCCTGAGCTGGAGATGTCTGCGCCGGCGGGGGCGGGGGCGGCGGTCGATGCGTGGCGGCGCGATACGACGAGAGGGGACTGGGGTCGGGACTGTGCGCGCGGGGCTCTCCTGCTGCCGCTCCAGGGTCGGGCCTTCGAGGCTGTGGCGGTCGAGATCGACCTGGAGCATCGGGCTGGGGCGCATTGACGCTGGACTAGCGACAGCGACGAAGCTAGCGAGGAGTATGGTAAGGTGGTGCTGGCTCCTCTGGCGATCGTGACCTGGAGCTGGAGGCCGAGTGCGCCCAGGCGCGTTGCTGTCGTCGTCGCGGGAGCCAACATCGTGTCTAGGGCTGCCGTTACGGCCAAGACAATGCCTCCCTCAAGGGTGTGCTGCTCTTTTGGAAGAGGGGAGGTTTTTTTTTGGTTCCGCGGTCGCCTGCGATCTCGAACGAGGCAGGTTTTACTGGGTTAGGGAGGACCTGCGAATCCAAAGTTGACGTCGGTCGAATCGAGCAGAGGCTGCTCGAAAGCTCGGGCCATCCACATGCGTGCACGACATCTGGAGGTACCTAGGTATCCAGGTACGTATTTAAGTACCGGGGTACCTCGTAATCGGGCTCAAGCGCACAGGTATATGCAAGTACCTCGGTACCATCATCAGTCGTAGATGGACTCCACCATCCCCAGACCCACTTCACTCCGATCGGGGGAGGTTGCAGCCCCTCGATAGCAATACCTATTACATTGGATACATGCATACATACCTATATATGTATATAATGTGATCAGGCCCTGGAGGACACCCAGCATTGTCTTCGGTTTCGAAAGGCATGTCGTTGATATATCTAGCGTGATCTGGTGGTGGTGACTTCGGTCACCTTCTAATCGCCTAACCAACTGCTACCTAACCCAACGACTCGGAACACACCAACAGAGATAAGATCGAGGTAAAGTGTATTAAAGGGTGAAAGGTCGATAGCCACCTATTACTTGGCGCAGTTGCGGCGTAGAAATGGGGAATGGGTGAGCATCTTCCTGGCGGTGGGGTTAAATATTAAACTATACACATACCCGAGTTTCTCTACTTAGAAGTTGTCCGATGCAATAGGATAACTGTCTTAGCTACCTAGGTACCTAGGTAGGTATGTCTATTGGCGATATTATCTACCTACGCACCAAATCCCAAGCCCCTCGTATTGCCCTTCACGAGAAACACCTACCTACCTCGTTGCCTTATTTCTTTCTACAATACGTATATTCGGTCCGCGCGATGTGAGATACACCGAGGTCAGTGTTTTCAACCTGGGTGGGTACGTCACATAGGTACACTTAAGCGAGTGCGCTGGACACACCGACGGTATTTATCTGACGGGAGCAGGATGCGGACGACGGCGAGGGAGGTTGCGCGATGGTGGGATACTACCGAATCTTGAGCCTGAACAGGGTGAATTAAGCCGCCAACATCAAATTAACCCAGCCGTGAGACATCTGTAGAGGCAACGTCACATTAGCCCTCCCCTCCCTCCGCCAAGCCAGTGCGAGCGAGACAGGGTGCTAATCGTGTAAGACGACCCTTCGACGCCCGGGAGAGAGAATATCAGTGCGAGGACGAAGTCGCCTCATGGACGGATGGCGGATTGGCATGACTAACAGCCGTGGCCAAACTCCCTAGAACCGCGTTGTTTATCTATTTGTTCGTTTTTTTCTTGTTGACCACCCCTGGACGTTCGTCCATTGGCAGGCACCGTGCAGGGCCAATTTACAGCGAGATCCGTCACTGGCTAATCCGCTGGACGAGCCTTGAGCTGTACCATCAGAACCACTTCGCTGTGGTCGGGTCGACAGATCAACCAGACTGCGGGGAAGTGCCTGAGGAGAAGGAAGAGTGGTATGGCGGAGAGCGACCAACGTAGACGTGACCTGCCTTATTCGGTTCTACCATCTGCAGAGTGTTGTTCCTCGTATACTTAGGTTATCGTGACTAGCTGCCATGTAACGACCACTGATGTGCTGGACGGTCAGGCCATCTACGTTTGGTTTATATATCCTCGCCGAGCCTGCTCGAGACACCGCTGTTCGCAGCTTCGTCTCCTCCCGAGTACCACTAGGCACGATGTACCTGCGCCGGCCACTGCTGGCGCTCTGCATCGGTATCGACTCGCTTGCCACTGCCTACGTCTCTCCGCTCCTCTCGAAGTCTGGCGATGCCGCTGCCATTCCGGGGTGGGATCTTGAATCCTCTGAAAAGGTCGGCACCGACTTGAAAGCTTTGTCCCGCCCCGGCGTGGATACCACGGCCTGGCACCACATCGGTGGCTCCCGCTGCACTCTTATGGGGTGTCTTGTACAGGCTGGCGTCTACGACGATAGCGAACTTTTCTTCTCTAATACGCTAGAGACGTTCAATGCTAGCCAGTTCTCGGACCCTTGGATCTACAGGAATGAATTTCCTCTCGACCCTCAACCCGGTCAGCACTACCATCTACGAACTCACGGCATCAGCTCCAAGGCCGATATTTACGTGAATGGCCAGGAAATAGCCACCAGCGCGATCCAAGCAGGCTCTTACGTCGGCCACACTTTTGACATCACAGGGATAGCGGAGGAGCAAAACGCGTTGGTGGTTCAGGTCTACCCCACGAACTACAACTACGACTTCGCATTAGGCTTTGTAGACTGGAATCCGTATCCGCCGGACAATGGCACGGGCATCTGGCGGAATGTGGAAGTTAGGCAGACGGGCCAGGTTGCCTTGGGTCCGCTAAGAGTGGCCACCCAGGTTGAGCTGCCGGTTAGGAACTCGACCGCCATTGTGTCGTTGAAGGCGACGGCTACGAACCTGGAGGATCGCGAAGCTGTTGTCAACCTGGTTGGCAGCGTCACTCTCGAAGGGGGCGAGCAGAGTGTCGGATGGAGCGAAACCGTGACGATACCTTCGCTGGAAACGGCCGAATTGACCCTGTCGACTGCGTTGAATAACCCTGCCATCTGGTGGCCGAAGGCATGGGGTGACCAGCCGCTGTACACTGGCCGACTGTCTGTGTCGATCAACGACTCGGTTTCCGATAGCGTAGAACAGAGTTTCGGTGTTCGCCAAGTGACGTCGGAGCTCAACGCCTACAACGACACCATCTTTTACGTAAATGGCTACGCGTTCCAGGTCATCGGCGCGGGCTACTCAGCTGACATGTTCTTACGCTGGGACAGCGCTAAATTTACTGAACAGGTTCAGTTGTCGCTCGCCTTGGGCTTGAATACGATCCGGCTAGAAGGCAAAAATGAGCAGCCGGAGCTATACGACATCGCGGACCGCTTGGGCGTCATGATACTGCCGGGCTGGGAGTGCTGCGATAAATGGGAGGCCTGGACTTACAACGAAGACCTGGCCGTTAAGTCGGAGTGGACTGAAGCCGACTACATCATCGCCAATCAGAGCATGTATCACGAAGCTCTCCTCCAGCAAGCTCACCCTAGCGTGTTGGGCTATCTAGTCGGAAGCGACTACTGGCCTGACGACAAGGCCGCAGAAATGTACTACTACTCGCTTAAGAGGGCGGACTGGCAGACACCCATCATCGCCTCAGCGTCTGCGAGGGGCTATCCAGAGATTCTCGGGTCCGCGGGGATGAAGATGGCCGGTCCGTACGACTGGGTCCCGCCCTCGTATTGGTACGATGTTGAGCCGTCCGAAGACCGCCTGGGCGCGGCTTTTGGCTTCGGTTCCGAGCTTGGTGCGGGCGTTGGCACGCCTGAACTTAGCAGCTTGAAGAAGTTCTTGTCGGAGTCGGACCTCGAAGACTTGTGGAAGCGACCTGATAAGGGTCTCTATCACATGTCGACGAGCGTGTCGTCATTTTACACTCGCAAGATATACAACGCGGCGTTATGGGGACGCCACGGGGCCCCTACTTCTCTGGACGACTACCTCCTCAAAGCCCAGATAATGGACTACGAGGCGACACGGGCTCAATTCGAAGGGTTCTCCGCTCTCTGGAACGCCGAAAGGCCAGCCACCGGGCTGATATACTGGATGCTGAATAACGCTTGGCCGAGCCTGCACTGGAACCTCCTGACCATGGCCGGATCCTACTTTGGCGCCAAGGTCGGCGCGAGGAACGAGCACGTGGCCTACGACTACGTTAGAAAAGCTGTGCATTTGATCAACCACTCGCTGGACCAAGAGGGATCGAGAACGGTGGCGGTCGAAGTGATCGGCAAGAACGGCGAGGTAATCTATACGGGCCAGGATGTTGTTGAGACCGAGCCAAATATTAGCAAGGAGATCTTGGACCTGTCGGACGCCCTGGGGTCAGTGACCGACGTCGTATTCCTGCGGCTCGTCCTGTCCGACGAGAAGAACGCTACGCTCAGCCGAAACGTTTACTGGCTGGCGGAGACTATTGACACCTTGGATTGGGACAACTCGGACTGGTTCTACACACCAGTGACCCAGTATGCAAACTTCACAGCACTTAACACTCTCAAGACTGCGGAAGTCTCCATCACGGTTGCGGTACCAGCGGGGGGAGGCGGCGCAGAACTGAAAAAAGCTGTTATTCTTGAGAACCGTTCCCCTGTTCCTGCTTTCTTCGTCAGAGTCAACCTCGTCGACGAGAGAGGCGAGGACGTTGTACCCGCGTTCTGGTCCGACAATTACGTCACTCTCTGGCCAAAAGAAAAACTCCAGCTGGAAGTAGAAGGAGATGGTGCTGCCATACAAGTCAGCGGCGTGAATGTCAAGAGGGTCCAGACATTTTTCTGATAATCGTTACGGGGAATCGTGGGGAAATGGTCGTCGTACCATACTCTTGTTTACCTGCTGCCCAGACCTTAATCCTGACGAAATCGCCTCAGCAACTGGCTAGATATTCAGCTCCCCCAAAGTTATATGTCCTTCTCTTCTATGAACCAACCCCAACCATGCGCCGACATAGCCTCATAAGCCTTGAAAACGTACTCCTAGGTAGGAATAACCCTGACGGATGGGTCTGGGGTGAGAAGTTGTGTCCGTCTTTGCGAGTGCCGTGCCATCCATTAGATAGGTATCGTAGGCTTCGTGGCATTGCTTCAACATGTTGCACATACCTAGCTCCTTGTCCCGCACCGCAAAATCCACGGTCAACACTGCAGTCCACACACCCGCATCTCCGGGTCCCATCGAGCCTAGCGCCGCCTCCCGCCCCCCATTTCTTCGCGCCCAGCTTCAGTCAGGCATCTTAAGCCCCCAGAAGTCGCCGGGCCCCCAGATGGTGCGCTCGATGAGGTCGCGGCGGGGGTGGAACCAGACGCCGGGGTCGGCGGGGCGGTCCTCGTCGCGGAACGCGAGCACGTAGCCGGCGCGGCGCACGGCGCGGCGCGACTCGGCGCAGACGTGCGCTAGCGGCAGCCGCAGCGCCCCGCGCTCCAGCAGCTGCATCCGGAGCCCCGCCGACGCGTACACCAGTGCGTTGAACACCCGCGGCTCTTCCGGCAGCGCCGCCTCCCAGATCATGTCGCGCAGCTCCGCCGGCAGGTCCGCGAATGTGACCCGCGGCCGCGGGAGCGCTGCTGCCAAGGGCGTGGGGGCGGCCGATGACGACGACGACGGCTCCCGCACCGAGGCTTCCGCGAGCGGTGGCTGTTGGGACCTCTGTGCCTCGTCCTGAGGATGGAGGTTGAGACGATCCTCCTCCCCTTCTCCCAGAGGAGGGGTCGCCAAGTCCTGCTCTTGGGCAGCGGAGCCGCTGTGGCGATCGGCAACGTCGTGGAGTTGCGGAGTTGGTGGACTGTCCATGAAGGAAGGTTGGTGAGTTACATGTGGTAGGTAGGTATTAAACTAGACAAGTTAAGGAAGAGAGAATAAGAGCTATCCAGGGTGGAATTGGAGCGATGTGTAGACAAGAAGAAAGTCCATGCGCTTTTTCGTTAGTTGCAATAGTACCTGAAATATTGCATACACTACACAACTACACAGATATCGTTTTAAACAATATCGCCGTCCAAAGTCGTAGGCTTCGACTGTGGCAGCATTCCGCCAGTCACTACAGAGCGAGGTTATTTCTAATCTAGAAGTAGCTCCATAAGTAGATACTTACTGTATATGGTAGAGCGTAACTAACATGGTAAAGGATTGTGACCTAAGAGTAGAAGTGAAAATTAGATCACCGGAACCAGAGATTGCATATAGGTATTGCTGTCTAGATAGAATGACCTGAAGAATATAGAGTCCATATTCTATGCTGTTCCTTGTTTTACTGGATTTTGTTAGCCTCCTGCCTAGGAACCTCGGGTCTCGTCCGTTGGTTTTGGCCGTCAGAGAGGGGCATAAGTACACGGGCAATTCTAGAGACAGAGCGCACACAGCTTGAAAGGAGGCTACAAACCCATAGCGGACGATGGACATAGGTAGAGACGAAACGCCGACCAGTTTTAGAAGAATCGTAGTTGTATTTAGCTCATGTAGACCGACCCTATCACCCACCCACTCGCAAAATGAAGAATAAAAAAAAAACGTTTCGGCCACCCCTCAAAACCGTCTACTCCTGCCACCAGGAAGACCCGCAAGTGCTAACGAGAGCGCCCTCTTGACCCACAACGCCGGGAAAGCACCGTTCGGGCCGCCACGAAAGGTAGGTATCATTTGCAACATAGCAGCGGCCGCCCCCCTTTGCTCCCGCCCGCGTCACGCCAACCGGATCTCCGTCTCCTGCGCCTCGAGCCGCAGCGCGAAGACGTCCAAGTCGTACAGGAAGCAATCGCCCAGCAGCTCGTAGGTGCCGTCCGGCCTCGCGCGCACGACGAAAGGGTAGCGACCGCCGGGCAGAAACGCGACGCGGTCGCCGGGGCGGGCGTGCGGCGGCGCCAGGCCCATCGAGCCGCCGCCGTCGCCAGCTGTGAAGAAGAGTCGGCGGCCGTAGCACACGGCCTCAGCGCGGCGCGCGAACCGGCTCGCCAGCGCGTCCTCGCGCTCGGCTCGCGCGCCGCCGTCCGCCGCCGGCGGCAGCAGCGCCCCCGCGCCGTGGCGCCGGTACCACGCGGCGAAGGGCTCGGCCCACCGCGACGTAGGCGGCCGCACCTTCTTGGAGTGCGGCGCGGCGTCGCTCTCGACCTGGAGGTCGGCCTCGTCGTCGGCGGCGAGGGTGTCGCGGAAGGCAGCGGCGGTGGCCTCCGCCGGCCTCGCGCTCGCGCTCGCGCTCGCGGCTGCCGCGACGGCGCTCTCCCAGCCGCGCAGGCCCGCCGCGATGGCTTCGCTGCTGCTGCTGCTGGCGCTGGGGCCGCCGAGCGCGTCGGCGACGGACGCGATCGTCGCGACGAAGTACCCGCGCGCGGCCAGGACACCGCCGGGGCGGAAGCCGAAGCCCGGCAGCAGCGCGAGCGGGTAGTGCACGGAGTAGCTGGCGGCGGCGCCGAAGACGCGGGGCAGCGTGCCGACGGGGTCGGTGGCGCCGCAGTCGGGGACCCAGGAAGGGCGGCCGGCGGCGGGGGCAGCGCTCGCCGGAGGCACGCCGAACCAGTGGAGGACCTCAAGGTTCCGGCTCGCCTCGATGGCGGCGCGCGTGAAGCGCGCGAAGAGGTCGGCGACGTCGAGCGCCGCGGCGGCGGGACCGTCGAGCGCGAGGCCCGTGTCGAGCAGGAGCAGGCCGAGGACCTTGTCACGGGGGTCGGCGGCGCGGCAATGGCGCATCCACAGGACGGCGCTGCGGAGCTGGACGCGGCCGCCGCGCGCGACCTGGCGCAGGTGGTGCAGGTGGGTGCGGCCGTCGGGGCCGGCAGCGGCGGGCGGGTGGTAGTAGTCGGCGGTGGCGGGGAAGCTCGAGCACCGCGTCGGGTGCGGCCACTCGCTGCGGTGGCGGCCGCACAGCAGCACCGCGGGCCGCTGCGACAGCGCGAGCTCCGCCGCCGCGAAGGGCCGATAGAACCAGGGCCGCGCGCACAGGCGCTCGTACGCCGCCGCTGCGGCGCCCTTGTAGTGGCACCAATTGAGGTGTGTGTGTCCGCTGCAGCGCTCGAGGTGCTCGAACACGAGGTGCGAGTCGTCCGCGGCGCTGCCGAGCCACACGAGGACGCCTTCTGCGCCCTGGTAGGTTGCTTTCAAGCGGGACACCTGGAGGCGCCTCTCGGGGTTGTCGGCGGGATGGCCGCGGTCGTCGAAGCCCTGGTCGATGCAGATAGCATCCGTCCAGAGGAGCCGCGGCTGGGTCTCGAGCCGGACGCGCTGCAGGGCCACCCACACCTCTGACGGCGCATCGAAGGTTTGGCCGTTGAGCGATATTGGGACGGGCGCCTCCGACGAGCTGCTCCAGTCGCAGGAGAGGATGTCGTACTTATGGTCCCCGCGGCAACTGGCGTGGATGATTTTACACCTGATTGGATCCTCGGGTGAGGAGGATGGCTCGAGTTCGAGGAGTCTTACCTCATCTTCTCCCAGGGGATTATACCGAAAAGGTGTCGCGGTTTCTTCGACCCAAGGAACTGGGTTTCGGTGGCTGGTGGCGTCTTCTGATGACATCTTGCGTCTCTACCCCCTTATAGGTGGGTTTCCTTCTCGTCTGGTGTTTAGGTACTGGATGGGTTCTCCTGAGCTGACAAAGTCATAAGGTACCCCTCTCCTTCAGTACCTATAGATTCCAAAGGGAGATGGTGTCTGTTAAACGAACTGGCATCAGTAATGTGTCTATGGTCAAGAGACGTGTCCGTCTATGCGGGCTTCTAACTGAAACGTCAAGTGTTGTAAAGCAAATGGTAAGCGGGGAAGCCTAGCTGAGGCCTAACTAAGATTCGACATCCCATTTCACGTGATGATGAGAAGGAAATACTCACACAGTGCATCATCGCCCTCCTCTCCAGAGGTTCAATTAATGGTGATTGATTATCATGTATTTATTAATTTCTTTTTCTCGACTGGAAAGAGAAGGGGTGAAGATGAATAGATCTAACCGTCACCTAGCAGATACCCAGTTATATGCGTAATGTACGGAGTCGCATAGCTATAACTAGGAAAAAACTCTACTTTTCGGTCGAACGCCTTAGTTTTATCGTTTATATATACGCCCCTAATAAAAGGAGGTATATATATTTAATGCAAGTCCCCGATAGCTTAATATTATATTCGTAATAGCTTATATATATACGAATAAAGTTATTTTTACTTAAGATAGTTCGAAATAGTTCCTTATTACTTATATAGGATTAGGTCGGGAATTAACTAACTTAATAAAATTTTTTTACTACGGGACCTACTTACGATAGACTATCGGTAAGGGATATAGGTAGATATAAGTTTTATAAACTAAGCGCGAGCTATATTTAATTAAAGACGACTAATCGTAAAGGAATAAGATTCTATAAACTAATAAAGGACCTATATAAAGACTATTTAATTACCTAAGACTTTTATTATATCGTTCCTAGTATTACTAGGCCGTTATCGTAAGAGTTTAAGACTATACGCTAACATTAAACGGATACTTCCTTATTTAAAGAAGTATAAAGCGTATAAGAAGGATTTAAGTTCGTTTATACTTAAGGAAGATATTATCGACCTTATAAATAGCCCGCCTCGATTAATACGGATTAAATTAAAGCTAAAATTAATATAATTAATTCGACGGACGCCTACTTTAACTACTTTAAGCTTTAACGAGCTATTAAGCTTTAAAAAAGCCTATGATATAAGTAAAGCCGCCCGCGAATTAAGCGCTATTAACGACCGTAAGCTTACGAAAACGATTATAACTAAAGTTAGATTCTAATTATAGCTCGGAAATAAGCGAAAGATACTCGTATATATTACGGTAGAAATATCTTTAATTTAATTCCATAAGTCGGTTAATAGGTAAGCGAGATTTATACCGATTAATACCCTACGATATAAAAGCCCGTAAGTAATTATTTAATACTTCTTCGATTTATTTTACGTCGAAGAGTAATACCGCTAAAAGAAGTAAAGGATAGTTAGGTAGGTTACTCTAGGGGATAATAGGTACGTTTAGGAGCTAGGACTAAACGAAGAAGGGGAATATACCATTAAAGAACTTCTTAATATATACGTATATATATAGATACCTTCGTACGAGCGACTAGGAGCGTTTGCGAGAAATAGCGGATAGGATTAAAAGGAGTATTACTTAATGTTTTACTTTAATATAATTATAGAAGACCGTATAGGAAGAGAAGAGGAGGAATAAGAGGAAGAAGTTAGCCGAAAGATTAAGCGAAAGAAGGTCGAGAAAGAGGAGAAACGATATAAGCGAGAGTAAGGTAGTATATTCTTAACGGAGCTAGAGTTAATTAAAGAGATAATAAAGAGGATTAAAAGAAAGGAGGCAGAAAATAAAGGAAAGAAAGCGAAAGTAAGTACGGAGGTAAAGCCATTTATTAAATATAAAGTTAAAGAACCGATTAAGAAAAAGTAGGTTAATATTAAGGATATTAAGCTAAAGCTTAAGATATTTAAGGAGGATACCGCTAGGGTAAAGAAAGAGGAGGAGTTAATTAAGGAAGAGGAAGAAGGGCGTAAGGTTAATTAAGCGAGTACGGGTAAAAAGAAGGAGCTAATCGTTTTTTCGTATGGAACGAGATTTATAACGCGTAAGCGTAACTATATTAAGGTATCGGAAAGTAAGGAGTAAAAGAAACTAACTTATATCGGATAGCCTTAAGGAAGGTTATCTACCTTATTATTTATTTCGATAGGATCTAGAGTTTATAAATCGATATTCGCCTTTTTTATTATTTACTTAAAATAATCCTAGCTTCTATCGATACGCGGAAACTTAAACGGCTTAGGCTTTATTCCCGTAAAGATATACGAATTAAAACCGTTCCGTAAATATAAGTACTAGATAATATAAGGTTAATCTTTATCCGTACTAGCGATATCTTTAGGGATACCGCTTATCTTACTTAGGATTTTCTCGTATATATCCATAGTTTCCTTAAGTAGGTAGGCATTAAGGTCGATATTATTATACTTTAATAAGCGGTTAAGTTTTTATTATTTATCTTGGTTTAATAGTATACGGTAATCGGTAATAGTCGTTAGATTATATATATTATAAAGAACTTAAGGTTAACTATAAATAATATAAAGGCGATTACGTTATTTTCGAATGCGATAGGAATTCTAAATACGAACGAACTCGGTAAACTCGAATCGGATTATAGGTATATAGATATAAATAAGCGTTATCTCGTCTATAGGTTAATACCGTTCCCATAAACGCTCGGAGGCGAGTTTACCGAAGTATTTTTATAACTCGGTTAATATATAGCTTATATAAGATAGATTAAGCGTATACGGAAAAGCCCTACCCTTTAAAAGATAGCTCTATAGTCGTAAAAACGTAACCACTAGCTTTCGATACGCTAATTAATAATACTCTTCCTAAATAATAAGTAGTCGCGTAAGGGAAGAGGTTCCTTTAAAATCTTATTAATATTAATCTATATATACTCGGAAGAGCCTATATATATATTATCGGGATAAGTAAAGCGCGTTATTATAGTAGCGTAAGGCGAGCGTATATTTATTCGAATTAATAAAAAGCTTTATAAATCTTCGTCGATTAATTACGTTCTAACGTTTAAATAGTTATCGCTTATAAAGACTCGTATAAATCCGTATTAGTTAATATCGGATAACGGCTCCTTAATATTATTTCGATCGGGCTCGCGTCGGTAACGAACGGGCTAAGTACCTTTAGATAAATAATAATAAGCTACGGTTATAAGCCTAAGCTCCCCGCTTCGGTTAAAACGTATAATAAGTAAGATATATCCCTATTTTCCGACTACGTATATATATTAAGTAAATATAAACCGGGCTATTCGAGTTAATATCCCGTAGTAAAACCAAACGATATAACGAGAATAAGCATTTATTCCCGTATATACTTTAAAGCCGTATGGTTCTAACTTATAATAAACGTTAATTAATTAAATATAATTTAAACCGGGTATAGTTTAACTACCGCGACGTCGATATAGCTTCCGTTTTCTCGCTTTAAGTTCTTCCGGATAATATTTTACGTAAAGAGTAAAAAGAGGAGTTTACGAGATATTAATTTACCGCTAACGGACGTATACGTATAATATCCGATATCCTATACGTCGGATTATATTATCCTTAGCCTTTTCCTTCTCGAAGAACTCCCGTAGTTATTATATTCGATCCATTATTTAATTCGCGTCGAGTCTTCTATAGACGTCTAAGTTCTTACGCGTCTTTATAAGACTATAACGACTAATAGTAAAACCTTTATTAATTAACCGACGGTATAGTTATCGATTAAATAGCCCGTATTCGAAATAAAGTAAGAGAATTCTCTTATATAGATCTTCATATTAAATAATCTAAACTTAATGTCTCGAGATGCCTTATTCTTTTAACCTATTTAAGATAGTTTTCGCGTTAATATAAATACTAAAGTTATATTTAAGGATACGGGTAATTATCGTAGGGTTTTAATAAATTTAATAATACTCGATAATAATGTCGCAAAAGGACTCGAGGTTAAGCCTAGGACGCGGTATTTTATTAACGCGTATAGAGGATATAATAAACGTATACCGTTCTATATAGTAGCATAGAGATTAAAATAAGTTCGTAAACGCGTATATAAATTCGTATAAACCTATCCTATAATATTAAATCTTTATTATTATTATTATTATTATTATTATTATTATTATTATTATTATTATTATTATTACTATTAAAATTTATAAATATAAAGTATAAAATAAATTATAATTTTATATAGATTAAAATTATTTTAATATATAATAATAAAAAGAAAAAATAAGTTCTTAATATTATAATAAGATAATAAAGTTAAATTATATAACCGATTAAATAAATATTTATATAAATTTCACTTTTATTTTATTCTATTTTATTTTATTTTATTTATTTACTTATAATTATTATTTTAATTAATTTATTAAAATTAATAATTAAAAATAGAATTTTTATTAAATTAAAATAACGTAAGTATATTATAATAAATATATATAAAGTAAGATAAATTTAATAATTAATAATTAACTTAGTATTAATTAAATATAATTATAATTATAAATAACTATAATCGATTAATCGATTAATTAAAAATAATAGTTAAAGAAAATTAGAATAAGATAAATAAAAAATTTATTAAAAATGAATAAATAAATATAGATAATAATATCTATAAAAATAGGTTTAATTAATAAGAAAATAAATATAAAACCTATATTAATATATATTTAAAAATTTACGTTATTTAATTTTATCGTATTATTATAACCTCTTTAATTTAATTATTCTATAAATAATAAATACTCTTTTATTAATAATAAATATAATAATATTTATCTCTTATTAATCTTAATTAACTTAATCTTAATTAACTTTAGTTAATTAAAAGTTAATAAAATAAATAAATAAAAATCAAGGTTTTAATTAATAGCGATTATAATATAGTAATAAGATAGATTTAAACTACGTAGCTTTTTCGATATTTATTTATATAGGTCGCATACTTATATTTTCATTAGTTAGACTTAAACTTATAACTATTATAGCTATTATTAATTATAGTTATTTCTTTCTTTCTTTCTATACCTTTCTAGCTATCCTTTTTATGATCTTTTTCTAGTTCCTTTTCTTTCCTAGCTACCGTTTTTAGCTAGCCGATTAACCGATTATAGCTATTTATAGCTATAATCTAGGGTTAATCGGTACTAGGCTAATTATTAATAGTTAGATAGTTCTTATTTCGTACCTTTATTATAGCGTACCTACGCTATCCTTATTTAATAGCGATTACTTAATAATTCGAACCTTACTTTATTTTAAAAGTAACCTTTTACGACTGTTTTTATAGTTATTAGGTTTAAGATTCGTCGATTAAAAGATCCTTAAAGTTTCGTTTAATTAGGAGCTATTTTCGTAGCTCTAGAACCGTTTTCGTAGCTTTTAGATTAAGCCTTTTTAGGTTAGGCATTAGGATTAATAGAAAGGGTAGATAACTATAGCGACTATTAATAACTACGTCCTCTTATTAGCTTTTAATTAGCTTACCTAAAAGCTCGTTCGCCGATTAGTAGATTTATCCTATCCTCGTTTCTTAGTTATTTCTTTTAAAGGAGCTATATCCGTTTTCGTTTGGTTTTACCTCTGTTATTTTTTAGTACCTAGATAGCCGTTTTCTTAGTTAACTTAACTCCGTTACTACTACTACTTCCTTTTTATAATACGCTTAAAGGCATTCGTTCTTTATCGATCGATTTATTTTAATTATAAGAGGTTTGTTATTCGATCGCCTTTATTTTATTCTTACTAGTTAATTATGGTACCTAGGGAGGTCTTTTCTTACCTCCCTAACCGATAGGTACTACGATATCCTTAATTACTATATAAAGATACCGATAAACCTTATACCTATGAACTTAATCGGAAAACCTACCGATTAGCTTAAAAAACCTATATAAACGATACCGCGATACGAAATAGATACGATATTAAATAAGATAGCTTAGAAGATTAAGAATAACTATAGGAATAGTAATACCTAGAAATCCCTTTTATCGCTTTTATCGATATATAATTAATAAAAGACCGTAATAAGCTACTAAAACTACGTATAAAGAAGGGATCGAAGGTTAAGGCAAGCCTAATAGATATTACCGGACGAATAATAATTAAATACGAATTAAAAACGGAAATAATCGGGTATAAATAAGATATATTAGTTAGTTTATAGGATTAGGAATTAGTTAAAAAGAATCGGTAAAAGATAGCTATGAACGAAAAGGACGGAGATTACGTTATATCGTATGGGATTATTTCTTTCGTTTCTTTCGGAAGCTACGCTTATTTTACTTACCTCGTTATAGTTCTTATTTTCTAATTAATTATTATTATTTCTTAATAGCCCTAATAAACCTAGCTCGCTCTTAGTTAATTAAGGTTAATTAGGAATAGGTTAATTAGGTTAAGTTATAAGTTATAGCTCCGCTAGCCTAGTTATTCTTATTATTAAATCTTTTTTATTATTTTCTATTAATCGTTAGTTAAACTAACTTAGCTCCTAGTTAGTAGCGATTAAATAGGTTCGGGATTAGTTAGGAATTAGGTTTAGGATTAAGTATAGTTAGGTACGGTTATAGTTAATTACCTACCTTACTACCTACTTATTATTATTATAATCGTTTTTAGTTATTAGGATTACCTTATTTCTTTCTAACTTATCTTATTAGCCTTTAATTAAACTAATTAGCTTTTAATTAATTAAGATTAATTAGGATTAGGTTAATTAGGTTATTTAGGATTAATAAGAAACGAAAGCTATCGTACCTATTATATTAGGAGTTTAATTACTCCTTACGGATTAATTAAACTAAGGAAGCTATAGTAATACGGTAGATCTAAGCTACGTAGCCTTTTTAATATATATTTATATAAGTCGCGTACTTATATTTTCATTAGTTAGACTTAGACCTATAAATATTACGACCTATAGCTATTTATTCGTTTCTTATTATGCCTTTCTAGCCTCTTCGTTACCCGTTTCTAGTCTTTAGTCTCTTTCTTCCTTTTTCCTTTCCTAGCTACCGTTTTTAGCTAGCCGATTAACCGATTATAGCTATACTATAATCTAAGGTTAATCGGTACTAGGCTAGTTATTAATAGTTAAGTAGTCCTTATTTCGTACCTTTATTATAGCGTATCTACGCTACTTCTATTTATTATAACGTATATATATTATTTCTATTTAATAACGATTACTTAATAGTTTAACTTTATTTTAACTTTAGAAACGATCTTTTCATAAATTAACTTTATAGTTAATAAGTTTAAAATACGTTAATTAAGAAATTCTTTAATTTTTAATTAATTAGGTATTATGTTCGTAACTCTAAAGCTGTTTTCGTAGCTTTTAAATTAAGCCTCTTTATATTATGTAATAAACTTAATAAAAAAAAGTAGATAACTATAAATATTATTTTTTAATAATTACGTTTTTTATAGCATTTAATTAGTTTATTTAAAGACTCGTTCCGGATTAATAGATCTATCTTATCCTCGTTTTTTAAATATCATTTTTAAAGAAGCTATATCCGTTTTTACCTAGTTTTATTTTCGTTTTTATTAATACTTAAATAATATTTTTAGCTTTTAATTAATTTAATTATACTATCATTACTTCTTTTCTCTTTTTATAATATATATTTAAAAATAATTATTCCTTTTCAATTAGTTTATTTTAATTATAAAAGGCTTATCGATAGTTCTAAGTACTTTTATTTCTTTCTTATTAATTAATTATAATATTTAAAAAGGTTCCTTTTTTAAAAAAAATAAATATTACGATACCTTTAATTACTATAAGAAAATAACCTATATATATCTTATATTTACGAATCTAATTAAGAATTTATCGATTAATATAAAGATTTATAAATAATATAGATACGATAATTAAATAAATATTAAAGAAAATAACTCAAGAAAATAATTAAAGTTATAAAATGATTAAAATAATATCTAGTGATTTCTTTTATTGTTTTTATTAATATATAATTAATAAAAAAAACCATAATAAGCTTTTAAATTTATATATAATAAAGAGCTTAAGGATTAAAGGAAGCTTGGTAAATATTACTAAACGAATAATTATAAAAACGAATTATAGGAATAGATATTTAATGAGATATATTAATTAATTTATAAAATTAAGAATTAATTAAAAGAATCGATGGCTATATATAAGAAGAACGAAAATTATGTTATATTATATAGGGAATATTTCTTTTATTTTTTTCGAGAGTTATATTTATTTTACTTACCTCGTTATAGTTCTTATTTCCTAACTATTAATTCTTATTATCTTTTAGTAGCCTTTAATGAAATTTATTTACTTCTAATTAATTAAAATTAATAAAAAATAAATTAATTAAGTTAATTTATAAATTATAACTCCGTTAGTTTAATTATTCTTATAAATTAATCTTTCCTACCGTTTCTTATTAATCGTTAATTAAATTAAATTAACTTTTAATTAATAACGATTAAATAGGTTTAGAATTAATTAATATCGAATATAAATAAATATAGCTATAATTAATTATTTACCTTATTATTTATTTATTACTATTATAATTATTTTAATTAAAGCTTTATTTTTTAATTTATCTTATTAACCTTTAGATAATATAAATAATATAGATAATATAAATAATATAGATAATATAGATAATATAGATAATATAGATAATATAAATAATATAAATAATATAAATTTTATTTATTTAAAATTAATAATTAAAAAAGAAAACGAAAATAAATATTTTTAGTTATAATTCTTTTATAAATTTAAAAATAAAAAAGTTTAATATAATAAACATTAATAATATTATATACCATAATTTTTATATTATACTTATTTCTAATATATAATTATATAAATTAATAAATATAAAAAATTACGTAAAAAAAACTTTAATTTTAAAAGTAAAACTATGTATTAATTTAATTTAACTTATATAAGTTTAATTTAGCTTATATAAACCCTAGTAATATAGTTAATTTATATTAATTTAGATATAGCCCGTACGGGTTCGTTTAATGTCGTCGTCTCTTGCTAGACCTATAATTAATCTCGCGACTAGCTAGCTCGTTCTCGATTATCTACTAATAATACTCGAGATCCCTCGTAATAAGTTATACGAGGTCGTCCTAGGTTAGCTCGGGCGGCTTTCGCTACCCTTCGTTTTCGTTCTCGCTTTCGCGGGTTCGTTTCTTTAACTTTTTTATCGTACCTACTTAAGTTAAATATATACGGATTAGATTAAGCTCGTAAAGGGTTATATATCCTTATAAAAGGAGTACGTAGACGTAGTATTAGAAAACTAATAATTTATATAAGCGTTATTAAAATAATTCGACCCCCTCGCGATATATTCCTTATACGGTCCGCGGGACTTCTTATTCGCGTACTAGTTATACGGGCTCGTATTAACTTAATTAAGCGTAACGAAGGCCGCAAGGGCCGATATCTTTTATTAACGATCTAGCTTTAGCTTAGGTAGGACCCGGCCGCTTCCCTCGCGAAGTTCTTTAAGTTCGATTAAGCGTATAAGGTTTTATACGGGGTTAATTAAGGCCGTATTAATATTATATATCTTTAACTTACTTCCTAGCTTTCGATAAATTTTCGAATATTATTATACTTACTTATACGGAGCTAATCGACTACCTAATTAATTAGGGCGAGCGTATTCTTATTATTAACGGGCTCCGCGGGCCGCCGTAATTCCGTACCCGCCTAGGACTAGTTATATAAGGCTAAAACCCCCTCGGATATATTTATTCTTATTCGTTTTAGCTTATATTATTTTATTCTTACTTACTAGAACTTATTCGATCTATATAAATCTATATAAGTATTATATTAACCTATATACCTCCGCTTAAAACCGTATAAGCTTATATAAGCTTATATAAGTACCATTTAAACTACCTTTCTAAAATCTCTATCCCTAGACCTACATTTAATATTAATACGTATAGATCGTTACGGAGATTTTAAAACTAATGGAATTTTTAATAGAATCTAATTACGCGTACTTAAAAAACTAATTAAAAGGTAATAACTTATCGGGAGCCGTTATAGGAGGTAAGGGGGATAGAGAAACGCTAGTTTTTTTTAGGTTAAGATCTACCTATTAGCCGATCTAACCAGAGGATAGCTCCTTCCCTACGTATAATTAAATATTTAACCTGTACCTTCCTACCTACTATACCCTTAGGGTGTACGTACCGAAAAGTAGAGTTTTTTCCTAGTTGCAGCTATGCGACTCCGTAGCAATGGCTATATCCCCCAACTCCTTGGGCTTAGGCACGCCTTCTTTTAATTCTCTCCCTAATGGTCCCTAATAGCCCCTTAAACCCCCTGTTAGTAGAGCACGTGGCGTTAAATATACTTCCTTCCTTCCCCTGTTAGTAGAACTCCAGGCTGAAATTTAACTTTTACTCTCTCCTCCCTTTCGCAAGGAATTCATAGATCTATAGATCTTTCGTAAGCACGTAATCCTACAGCCGCATCCATTATCGTTAACTATAGCACTCAATATAGCTTATTCAGCCGATCGAGGGGTTGCACCTACTGTCTGTATGCATTCGCCCGTAGCGAATTCCGTCTCGCCCGCTTTCCTGTAGCCGAGTCTCTGATAAAGCCGCTGGGCGCTCTTGTTGTCCTCCCACACCGTCAACCACAGCAGCTGGAAGCCGTCCGCCTTCGCCCGGCTCTCGACCGCGGCGATGAGCTTGGACCCGATGCCGCGGCCGTGTGCGGCTGTATCGACGTACAGCCTCCGCATCTCAGCGTGCGACGACGCGTCGCCCGACAAGCTCGGGTCGGTCTCGCCGCGGACCAGCTGCACAAAGCCCAAGACGGCGCCAGCGCGGTCGCGGGCGACGAAAGTGCTGATGTTGGTCTTCTGCGACTCGCGTATGTCCGTCTCGATGGCCTCAGGCGAGTACGTTTCCGCCAGAAAGTCGGCGAGGTCGTTCGCTGGCACCGAGAATCCGAAGGTCGCGGTAAAGGTATTGGCGCCGATTAGGGCTATCGCGGCGGCATCCGACACTAGCGCATCGCCGATAGTAATCTCGTGGGCCAGCGGCGACGGCATTTGCGATGCCTGGGAGACCGAGATCACTTGTGCAGCCATGGTTTCGACGGCGACAGAAATGCAGCCGGCTTGGTAGACAGCAGAAAAAGAGGGAGGAGGGAGAGGGGATGACTTGCGACGAATACGACAAAATGGGCTCTTGACTTATTTCATAACCGCAGGTTCAGCTATAATGGCATGACTTAATACGCGTTCTACATCGAAGTCTTCTTTAGAGACGCGAGCGGTCGTGGTTAAGACGTGAGGGCCGTTTGGGCTTTCATACTCTGGCATTTTCTCGTCGGTCAGAACAGGTAAGCTAACGGCTTCCCACGGCGTCTCCACATACGTCACACTGTCCTTACTCCATCACTCCACTGAATACCTACTACTACGATAGGGCGCATAGGGCGCGTGAAGTTTTGGGTTCGGGTTCAGGCTCGGTACTGTCTACTCAGAGTCTATAATTAGGAACAGCTTAGCTCAAGTCTGGGGTTGGGAACTTACATGGGATCTTGCCTCTCGTGGTGGAAATCTTTCGCATTACCTGGGTGTATACTACGCCTCCTCTTACGTGTTTTCGATGTAACTGAGCAAGGTTACTCTGTCGTTTCTTGCGGTTGTTTTCTTTCTTATCAGGGCTCCGTCTTGGCGTTGGCCCAGCCACTCGGTGCATCCGGAACAGGCCCGACTTTCCCAATCTAGTAAGCGAATTGACAAGATATACATACGTAGGGCGTGGGCGCACGCGCGAGATCGGTCATAGCATTGTACAAGGGTAAGATGGAGTCACAGAAGACCGGACGATCGGGTAGGTTATTGCATGAATCCCATTCCGGTAGAGCCTCTCTCCTCATTTCGGGAGGGGATCCGTGGGCATCCCCTGTTTAACGCGAGTGCCTATTTCTTATCTCCAGACAACTATGCAGTTGGCCGCCATCGACCGAAGCCGCCGACGTGAGCAGTGACCGGTTAGACTTGCTATTCGAGTTGGTCTCGAATCGTTTGGCCCCCGGCTATCGTCCTGTAGGGCGCAAGATGATTTCGTACTACGCCCTTGACGCGAAGGTAGAGCCGTGAGTCGTACCTCGAAAGGAGTGACGAAGTGGAAAACGTTCAGAGCTACCAGAGACCCGACGCTTTTGGTATCGCAATGGTGTGTGTGACTGCTGGCGCTCTGCACCGAGACACATCTATTTCTATTGACAATTTTAGAGGAGTGTGTATCCTATCCACAGCGACAAACCCGCAGCCCCCAAGCCGTTCTGCCTCACTACAGCCGCTAAGCCACGTGGGCAATGAGATTATTAGGCGCCTAAGCTACCTAAAGTACCTAGCCTACAGGGGGACTTGTGGTACCCAACACCTCTTCCAAGTTCAAGCACTTGGGGACCTGATCCAACCCAGACTCATGGCTAAGGTTTCCTCTGTAAGCCCCTAACCAGTGTATTTCGTTTCCCTACAGATACCGATTAACTCTTCGTTAGCTATTATAACTGAGGCCTGTTTAGGACCCTCGCAACCAAGCCACTCACCCAGTTTTAGATAGGTATGTTTAACAACGGACTTACGCATCTAATCGAGGGCGTCGAGATCGACCAACCTCGCAACGCTGATACCCTTACGCACGGGTTCCGTCGTCTTTTTGGCGAATTTAGGGCCTTCTTCGAGCCCGACGGTTAGCAACCGCATACCTACAAAATCGACTCGTTTGTTTCCCGGTACGCCATTCTGGAGCCAGCCCTGCCCATACCTCGCACGTTCTACCTTGCTGAAGTCACTCGGATTATTGATCCTAGGTAAGTGTCTATAGACGGGGGTAGTAATCGACTATGCTCTACAACTTAATTTAAATAGAGCTCAAGATAAGATCGACTATATCCTGCCTGACCGACGAACATGAGTCCCCAGGGGTCGCCGTCTGCCCTTCGTCAACTACGACCCCGCCTGGCGGCTCGAGCGAAGGATTTCTCCCCATTCAAAAGTAGAAAGCTCTAACATGTCACGTGGAAATTGAACCAGCCCTTATATGCCTACATAATACCGCACAGCGTAAATGTAGGCATCTACGTCTTACGCGACACAACAAAAGAAAGACGAAGTGGAACATAGCGACCACGGAGTTGACGGGATCTCGAGTCTACAAAGACACAAGACGCCACCCATAGACCAAAAATATATCGCGCAGTTCTCGCTATTATTTGTAAGTTGCCATATGAAAACGTAGCTCTAATTTTTCTTTTGGATATGTAGGCTTACCTATGTTAACGCAGGATTCCGTACGGGACATAAGTTGGGTCGCCGAAATGAGAGTGAAGGGACCGCTTGCCGTGTACAGTAGAAGAGCCCCCAATGATGTGTGGCATATTGTAGCCAAGGTATCTCCCACACCCCAAACAACTGTTGACACATCTAATACCACCAAGCCAGCACCCCATGTGCCGCATATTTCGGTACAACTTAGCCGATAGTCTCTGTTCCCCTTTGCAGTGACTTCCATGATCGATTCGTTGGCAAGTTCTTCATAGGAGGCCACCAGTCTCTTCTCTGGGCCTCTGACGCGCGGAAGAGATGTCGTAGAAGTAGGTCTCAAGAGATGGATGTGAAGAGAGTGCAATGTGAAGCGTACGGTTGGGCGCTAATTCCTCTAAAGCTGTTGTTTGCTCTGATGCCGTAATCACGCGACGTGAAAAAGCAGACGCTTGCATTCTCTCGTTCGGATAATAATACCTATGCTGGCTTAATATATCGGTGGTGTTTTCCTTCTTGGCACAAGGCCGCTTGCTGTTCCAGAGCCTTTTGGCTGCGCTGCCGAGTTCTGAAAGGGCTGGGGATAATCTGACGCTCTGAAATGTGTGTGGGCCTGCTTCCACCTCCTCTCTCCCCTTTACTCCCCGTTGCCATCCGGCTCCTCCGGCGGGGCGAGAGTCAGAGGGGTAAATCTCGTGGAAGGAGTTGTAGCGGAGGCCGTTTGCGTAGCCACCGTAGCCATACTCACAATGTACACATTGACTTTGGGATTGAGCCGAGACGCCGTATCTCGGGATTTCGGAATTTTCCCCAGTTAAGTAGGCATTGGATGATACCTACTTGCTCGCAGACGGGAGCCACCCGCAAGGCAATGTACGGCAGATTAAGGGTAAAATCGGGAGTTGGGAATGACATACTTAATAGAAAATTGCCTGGTGATATGGCTTGCCGGCTTTGCTATGTGCTTTTGTTGGGTCCCCGGTGTATTACGTCGGCCTCTTTTGCCTTGTGGATGACCCTCGTATGCGGGCAAGTATTGCCCATCCGATACTAGTTTGGTTACGGCACGACCCTTTTTAGGCGGAAAACAGATGAGACTGTAGTTCTCCAAGGGACGGAATGCCCTGAAGTTAGCAGGTGATGATTGGATTGCGCCACCCTCATTATCGGCCGTAAACACTTATTTATAACAGAGCATCTCTGCTAGAACCGTGATTTCGGTTAGATATAACAATTCGGCATAAGACCCTTAGAGCGGTAAATAGATGTTCCTATTACTACACCTTCATACAAACCATCAGTTTCTTAAGCGACTTGCATAACCATGACCATTGCCTCATTTGACAGTTCTCAGATACAATACACAAAACACATGTGCAGCTAGGAAACCGAAATGAATTCCGTCTAAGCCTACCTGCAAAACGACGGGCGCCTGCTCTTTGCTTGATTCTCTCTGGGCCGTAAACTTGTTTGCTTGTATGCTCCCCGAATTCTTTTCTCTGTACATCTATTAACCATAAATATAAAAGTGAAAATGAGAGCGAGGGCGAAAGAAACCATTCATAGAGTTGCGTGTAAACGGGTGAGTTGCTTATGTAAGACAACAGGCTCTTCACCAACGAGAATAGAAGGGCTTAACTCACAATTACTGCTACTCCTCCTCCTACGTAATACTACTGACACCTTTTTACCTAGCCTTCCTTCATGCGATAATGTCTGCTGTCACACAAGAGATCAGGTATATTGACCGATATGTTCAGACAAAGTTGGTTTGGGGTTTACTTATTCACGTGATATTTGTGGAAGCTATTGGATCGGTATCAGCACATACGCCTCCCTGGTTAGAGACATCGTCTACCTACATTCATTTGCATTTGAGGCCTTTCCACTTCCCTCGATATATCCGGGGAACACCCTCTCGTTATTTCGTAGCTGAGATGCCCGATACCTATCTATGGCCTAGTGTCCGATTCAGGGTAGCATGGCATCATTTCGAAGACCTGGCGGCGATGGGATGTCCTTCCTCCACCTTCTACTCTCGGAGCATGATTGACCATTGGAGACCCGAGAGCATGCATCCTACCTATATTAAGAGCTACTCGACAAAGGTCAGGTGCTTGCGTGGTAAGCGGGTTTGAGGATATGTAGCTTCACGTTATGGCATGCAAGGATCTGTCGCGTATTATCTGCTATGGGGATTCCTGCGTGCGGGAGAATGATGCACAGAACACCGTAATGCAGAAGGAAACGCATCAGTGGCTAAGACAATCTGGTAAGTGTACCCGGCCGTTGGTGATGGCTCGAGGTAAGGGGGGGAGTTGATGAGGGAACCTAGGACGATTCCCGGTTGTCGCGGCTCGCTACTAGCTATGCTAGATGAGCTAAATGACGAAGACAACCAAGTAGCCCCGTTAGGAATCCAACCTATCCTCCGTTATATAACCCACTGATCTATGCTAGGTGGCGTATTGGGATAATACCTACTCTGTAAATAGGTACCCAGGCCAAGCCCACCCGATCTATCCATGCCGTACGGTACAAGGGATCTCGGGCTCGCCCCACCGATGCTGACCTCCCTGATCACCCCCGCGTGCCAGACCGTCGGATGGACCCGCCGGCTCACCTCGGCTCAAGCGGTGATGCATAGGGCTGAGCCGACCCGCAAGGGGCTATATATGTATGGGTTGGCAGGGTTCGCGATCCCATTTTACCGCAGCCCTATGATCCCGATCAACGAATGGCGGTTGATATATAATACCGTTATAGCTAATTAATCGCCGCCCACCTAGTCACATTCAAATCCTATGTCCCGATCGGTCTGTATAGCCTTCCAGCCCCTTAAGGTAAAGTGGCGATAGCTGTGCGGACTAGGGTTGAACAGAAAAGCGAGAGACCGTGTCCTCCGGAATTTCGGCTAGGTAGCGAATTGTCTTTCTCCCCCCGAGTCCCCTCCTTTCCAACGGGGCATTGGAAGAAACCCTCAAGCATGTCAGGATAATACACGCGCAGTACCACCTCTGAAATAATATATACGTCTGACTACCGCCACGGCCATGAAAAACACTTGATGTCGCGTTTAACAGTGCCAAGCTCTCTGCCACACTCAATTGTTCACGGAAGTCAGACTCTCAGCCATGGCTCGAAGTGGCTCCCGAGAGAGACGAGTAAGGCATACCGGGATTGCAGCTTATTAGACACGACGAGCACAAGTATAGCAGTATCGAAGCTGGAGGAGTACATGAAGAGGCGCTACCGTGTAGAGCATACCGGATAGCACACGCTGACGAGCTGACCTCTCAAGAGATGTACAAGCTGTGCCTGTTACAGAACTACGGGAACCAGCGCCGTTGTGATTCCACCCGCAACTATCACATGAATGGCCCGGCCTAGGCGACAACAGGTACTACGGACAGCCGCCCCTAACCTAGAGTTCATTTTGATAGATTGTGGACGTGCCCCATCCGTGTCCTGCTTGCCAAGCAACATCTCGCCGGAAGCGGGTGGCGCTGGGGTTTCGACCTTCAGCTCTGATTCTTGAATTAGGAGAGTACCGACACCAACTGGACCGAGCTGACGGTGTTGGACAACCTGCCATACAACCAAGGAGGAACGGCACAATAATCGCGGGGGCCTACCTGTTTGGTAGCCTAGCGGTACGTTACCTGATTTTGGCATTGCCGTTGTGCGTCTAGCGAACCGGATAGCCAAAATCGAGTTCTACGAGGGTAAAGACGGCATTATCCGAGGCCAGAACTTCGATTTCGAGGTCGAAAATGGAACCGTAGGTACCCGTATAGGGCAAGGCCGGTAGCATCAACACACATTTCTTATTACGTTCCATACATCGTCTCTCAGGACGCCGACAATTCGGTCCGGTGGACGATGATGCACGGACAAAACGTCGATAACCCCTCGGCGCCGTAGTAGGTTAACGATACAGATTAAAGGGTGAAGGCGTCTAAGCGAAGCGTCGGAGTACTTCTCTTAGTCGCCCAAAGGTACCACAAAGCGGGGGGATTAGTACACACGAGCGTAGAAGGGGCGCTATCGATCAGAATCCGCGATGAGTCGGAAGAGAGCAACGCGGACGTGGCTTGGAGGACGGGTGTCTTGTCGAAGGAAATCCCGGAGGGTGCCGGCATGGGAGCGTTTTCCGTCGGATGGCCGTACGACAACAACAACCAGGTGAGCACCTCCATACTGGACGGTTCGACGGTACCGACTGGAAGGACGATCTGGAGAGCATAAGCTCCCATACTAAGGGGTATTGCGGACGGAGGATGACGATACCTCGGTCGCGGTCTGGTATTATAAGGCGGGAGGTAGACCAACCTACTTGAGAGAGAGAGAGAATGAGAAGGGGCATGTACTAATCAGTTAGGTTTGGAGGTTATGAGGTATCAAACAGTAGGTAGTAGGTACCTAAGGTAGCTCTGCCAATATACCTATGCCTACGTGTACCAGATACCTGTTAGGCTTAGGTACCTAGGTACCCAAGGTGCATTCGGTACATTCGGCACCTCCATAGCATCTGCCTGTCCTATGCATGTTGACGCATCAGCTAATAAGCCAACATTGGGTTAGATTGAATGCAACAGAAGCACATGTACTTGCCACAGCTTCAGTGGCATCCTATCCTAAGCAGGCAATCGTTCATCTGTCATCTGCACTACATTGCCTGCCTGAGAGGTGCCACATGATGGCTGGATTTTTATTTCATTTACCTATTTCAAGCCGTCGTTACCTAAGCCAAGCGATGTATCTGGCCTGCAGAGCAACGGGCATTTGTTGCCGCGGATAAATCCCAAGTGGCTAAGTACACAGGTACCTGCAAAAAGGTGGACCTCTCGCCTGCACGCCCCACCACGACCCCCGTGCTGCTCGCACTCTCCCCATGCATTGACGCGATAGGTTACGATAAGATAAGGCGTTCCAATGTGTGGTCGACATTGCTTGGCAAGCCGTGGAACTCCATCTCCCTCAACCTCCTCCGTACGTCTCCCCGCCAAATCCTACGAGTCGCGTGTGGTCGAGTCCGCTTCGTCGCTGACGAATCACCTCTCGCTTTTCTATTTTATCATTCGTCCGGTTGCGCCGAACTATACGATACGGGTGTTCCGTTTGCCGTGCCCGAGCCGCTCCGCGAGATCAGAAGGCCCATGCACATACCTGCTTCACGTTCGTCCCTCCAAGGCGTCACGAGGTCGTGACTAGAAGGTAGCTAACATCCCTCCCTCGTAGTGATCCGGGCTTTATCCCTCGAGTTCCCTACGTTTCTCTCCGCCGGAGCGCCCGACTAGTCCAGCCGACCTTCCATCCGATCACGGCGCTGTCGACACCTCCGCGCTCCATGACCCCCGTACGCAACACCCCCTCGAGCTACCTGAGCGGATCTAGGTCCTAGAATGTCCAGCACTAGCAGAGGGGGTATAGCACCTCCCTTCTCCGGCGGCAATAACCTCGCAGAGGGTGACTCCGAACCAAGAGGCCTGTATCCTGGAAATGGTGCCTCAGTCGGGCCGGCCTGTCCCTACCAAGATGCCGAGTTCTTCGGCGCCGAGTGCTCGCGCTATTATGATTGCCCAACACATAGCCTGAGGAGGAATACGGCAGGGGAAAGCTCTGCTGAGAGTGCGCAAAATAATGTAGGAGGTCCGGCCGTGTCTCATGCCGCCGCACTCCTGCAGCCTCCTGGCACGGTGGGGGGACCGAGCACGGTATTAACTAGACTAGTCACGCCAACCTCCGGTCAAGCTCAGGGAATTCTAGGTGGCTATCCTTCGCAGTTTGGCGCGAGCCCTCTCGCGGGACATGTAGGCTTCACATCGCCGTCTTCTTCTTCCTTAGCCCTATTAAATTCAGGGCCCGGCCCTCTTGCGCAAGAGACTGGTGCCGCCGCTGGACAAGCTTTGCCTCGAGCGCCAGCGACACCCAGCACAACCTTGGCTGGAGCTGAGGGGTCCTCTAGCTCCAATATCGACGCGAGACCGTTACAAATTGTCGGCTCAGGTCAAATTGCGACGTCGTCGCCGTTATCCGCACCTCCGCCGACTTCGTCACTAGGGGAGTTAAATCCGATAGCACCGTTGTTCTCCCCTCTCTCGGAGAGGAGGCCCACTCAGGAGATCGCCCTACCTAGATGGCAGCCTGACAGTGAGGCGACGTATTGCCCGATATGCCATGCACAGTTCAACTTCTTTATTAGGAAACACCATTGTCGGTGAGTTTGCCGCGTCTCTCTGAGGGGGCTTCCGGCGGGAACTGACAGGAGGACAGGAAGTGTGGAAGGGTGGTATGCAGCCAATGCTCGCCCCATCGGATCACCATACCGCACCAATACATCGTACGGCAACCAAGCGACAGGGCCTTCCAACGCTATTCGTTCCTCGGAGACGAGGGCGGCATCTCTGATTTCAGCATCATCGGGGGTGGCGAGCAGGTCAGGCTCTGCAACCCCTGCGTGCCGGACCCAAATACCGCACCTCCTCAAGCGCAGCACCCCGCGAACCAGCTGCCCCCAATATCATCGCACCAACGATCCCAGAGCACTTCGAGCGGAAATGCTGCCGGCGACGGCTCTCTAAATCGCTACCCACAGTTCCTGACAGCGCCGAACTTGCCGGATGCTTATGCTCGGAGTCGAAGCGTCACGATGGTTGGTTATCCTTCTTCCGAACCTAAAGGGTGATATGGTTTTTTTTTAAAAAATTAACATCTGGATAGAATGCTAGCGCAAGCCCCTCGAGACTTCAGAGCGGCACTTACGTGCCAACCCACAACCGAATCCTAGCTGGCACGCCTCCGGCTTATTATCCTCAGTCGTACTCGGGCTACCGCCACCCCTCTTTCATGGATCATCGCTTCCTCGCGCCTCCGATCGATTACGGCGGCCCGTCCACCTCGTCATCGTCATCGGTGGCGTCGTCGTCGGCAGCGGTGATGAACCGTCCGTTGCCACCGCCGCCTCCGATCCCCGAGGAAGACGAGTGCCCGGTATGCCACCGCGAGCTACCGTCGAGGGACCTGCCCAACTTCGAGACGCTCCGCGAATCGCACATAAGCTCGTGCGTCACAGCCCACAGCACGTACAGCGCGGGCTCGGATTCGGGCGGCAGGTCGGGCAATTACGGGACCGCGTCGCCTCAGATGACGCGCCTGACGGGGCAGTTTCCGTATCTGGCGACGGAGAAGGACTGCGTCGACTCTGCCGAATGCACGATCTGCCTCGAGGAGTTCGAGGTGGGCGTCCGGATGGCGAGGCTGGAGTGTCTTTGCCGGTTCCACAAGGACTGCATCGACGCGTGGTTCTGCAACCACCCGGGCCGGTGCCCGGTGCATCAGCACGACAGCTACGGCTATTGACAGAGCTGTCTGCCTTATGCCACGGCGGCACACACACACGGCACCCGATTTCCCCGATCAACCTACCTCGCTGTACTTGTATCAATTGCCGGCTTAATATGTTCATACTGCTATTCGGGGGGAGGAAAGGGGCACGGCAGGCGTTATAGCATGCATCACAATCTTTTACGGCATCCCAACTTTTCGTTTTGTTTTACCAGGTCGACCTCATGGACTGTCCCTCTGCTCTTCGTCTCCTTTTTTCTTTGTGTATGCGCGCGCGTGTGTTCCCCGCGGCTCCCTTCCCTTTGTCTTAGATGCATGTGGCACTACGTCACTACCTACGTAGGTACGGAGTATAGCGTGTGTTTCTGTATCGTGTCTCTGGATAGATATACATTATACCTGACGGTGGCTGCGGCCGGCTCTGCCTATCGTCTTCGATGCTATACCTATATACTGCCTACCTGTGTTGGTTGCCGCGACAAGGGAGCACATCTGGAGGAGAAGCATCGCCGAGGAGGAGGAGGAGAGAAAAAAAGAGAAAAAAGAAAAAAAAAAAGCCGAAGTTGCGTATTACATAGGTATATAGTATAGCTATTATTATTATTACCCATCCGGCCGGTGCTACGCGCAATCGGACATCTATAGCGTTCCTACCCGAGTTCCTGATTTTTCGTCCTCCGGTGCTACGCGATGAATACACACCGCTACGCCACGCCGCGCCGGCGCCGAGCCAGGCTCGCAATCCGTCGAGGTCTACCTATGTGCGCAGAGGGGTACCTACATGGGAGTTGGGTCCGGTTCGTCGCTGTAATTTCGGTCGAAACGCTACGTGGGGGGGGGGGGGGGGGGCAGGACGGCCTGTTTGGCTATCGGCTACGCTAAACAGGGATTATTGCCTGCCTACGGCGCGCTGCGGGCCCTGTCTCTTTCTCTGCCTCGCTTGCTCTCTCTCTTCTCACTCCCTCGTTTCTCTCATTTTCTCCCTCTCTCGCCGAGAGTGTCGATCAGAGTCGGGGCCAAGAGGGCTTGGTGTGGAAGCCGAGAGCGCGCATACGTACGCACCATACACAACGACTGGTAACATGGTGGGCAGGCAGGTATATGCTCGGCCCCAGCGGCTGGCAGAGACGAATGATATAGTAATAAACGGCGCTGGCACGCATGCAATATATATCATACATGCTATGGCTGTCCCCCCCCCTCCCCCTCCCCCTTCCCCTCACCCCTGGCTTTGGCTCCAGCTCTAGCTCTGGTTCTAGGCCCCCTCTCTCGGGTTCCTCCCTGGTTCGTTTCGCGGTCCAAGTACCCAAGGCATGTACGAGTATGCTCATATGCGCATACACACCTAAAGCCAGACGCCTATCAGGTAGGTACCCTGCCTACGGATGCGCCTAGAGAGTGTCTGCGTGCACGCGCGCGCCTGCGTGCCCTGTCCGGGTGCGGGAGAGATGGAGGGGGGAGAAAGAGGGTGGTGGGGTTGTAGATATACATACACGCCTAACGTTCTAAAGGTACCTACCATAGGCTACTAACCTAACCTACCTCTTGACGTAGGTAATACATACAATGTAGAGGGAGGCGGGGGGGGAGGAGGGAAAGAGGGTGACCAGCCCGGCACGGTGTACTTTCTCGTTGTGGAAACGTTGGGGGAATAGCTGTTTTAGCGTTGGTGCCCAAAGGTAGTAGGTATACTTGTGTGGGCGAGAGAGAAGGAGAGGGAGAGAGAGAGAGAGAGAGAAAGAGAGAAGAGAGAAAAGACGGGGGAAGAGAGAAGAGGCAGAAAGCGGAGGCGAGACTCGAGGAGAGAATCGGAGATGGAGGAAGACGGGGACGGAGAAAGAAGGAAGACAGAGGAAGAAAAAAAATCAAGATTTCCGCATCACGTTATTCCCCACTCCCACCTCCTCCTGCTCCTCTTCCTCCCCCTCCTCTCGTCTCTCTGCCTTTACCAAGACCTGCCACCGACGACGGTGGGGTCTGCACAGCCCAGCTAGCGGCGTATAGCGCGGTACTTACCCCCGATGTACCCTGGGCAGACAGCTTTATAGCAGGCGGGGAGTAGAAGAGCATGGCATGTGGCTAGCGGGTCAGGTAGGTCTAGGTAGGTAGGTAGGTAGTTCGCACGCACGCCTACTCTCTCTGCTCTCCGTACTGTGCAGAGGTTGGCAACCTTGGGTATAGCCTATAAGCACGTAGATCGCCGATGCCAGTCCCCGTATGCCACGCTAACTCCCCATAGCCCCAGGCGCCTTCGCCAGCAGTCGCAATACCTACGTCGATCTACCTAGGTAGGTGTGTATGTACAGGCACCTGTGCTCATGTGCGCGCTGTACTGTGTATGGACGGATGTACATGTGTTCGTTGATGGCGTCGAGACCGTATGTACACACACGCCTCCGTAGCTGGAGCCAAACTACTTAGGCAGGCCCTTGGCCGCTCCACGGCGACAAAAACACGTGAATATGTCCCGCTTACTCGTGTGGCCTGGCGACAAGTAGACAGGCAACGCTAGCACGTCTGACGCCCGTATAGCGTGCTGGTAGCGGAGGAGGCTCTCCCCGTAGGCCAGGGGGCGGGCGCGGTAGCCGGACCGGCACCGGAGCTAGTCGTGAATAGCGTCCTGCCTCACAGGCACAGATGGGTACCTACCTACCTACCTACGGACCTGCCTGCCTACCTTAGGTACCCTAAGCGGGTGAGTGCTAGAGGCTAGCGTGTCAAACCCGACTGTTCACCCGTCCAGGTGTTATCGGAGAGGACTCCGTAGTAGAGGGCTCTGTTCAGGGGCCTTTCTGCCCAGGCTTCATTTACAGGTAGTCTTGGTAACGAGTGTGTCCTCTTCTCTCAGGCGTGTATGCAAGAGCTCCCAGATCTAGCGTGCCATGGGGGAAGGGTCCCAGACCGCCGGTCCCTCTGTCATACCTACCTACCTACCTACCTGCTTACACATGTATGTACTTGCATAGCATCAGGGGTCTGGTGCGCCTCTCTTATCTCTTCTCTTTCTGATTCACCGACTCCCTAGGTAGGTATGTGCGTACCTAACTAACCCAGTGGTCCGCCGAGACCGTCTTCGTTCCGAGGAGCCTATGTGAGGTGCGCCCCCTCCCCCCTCTGGGGCCCGTCCCGTCCGCCCAGGTGTGCCGACGCTTACGGATCGCGAAAGCCGTAGTCGTCCCTTAGGCGGGAGTCGCGCCTCCTCCAGGATCATATCTGCCGAAACTCGTAAGATGCTCTCGGGTCGACCCTGCTCGCAGCCGAGAAGGGCAAGGGGAGGGGGGAAGAAGGAAGGAAGAAGAAAGCAAAAGAGTCTTGGGGCCGCTAGTTGCGTGTTGCGCGTGCGGGCCAAGATCCCGCGTCCCCGGCCTCGACCTGGCTCCCCGTGCCTCTGGCGCAGGAGAGAGGCGGGCTGGGACGAAGGGACTCTCTCTCCATAGACTAGGACGAAAGCAGCGCGGGGAGGGGGGAGCTAGGGCGAGAGAGACAGAGAGAGAGAGAGAGAGAGAGAGAGAGAGAGAGAGAGAGAGAGAGAGAGAGACAGAGAGAGAGAGAGAGAGAGAGAGAGAGAGAGCAGAGGGTTCGCGAAGTGAGGCCCTCTTGGTGCGCCAGAAGCCCAGCCGACAAGTCCTATCCGGTTCTCCCCTAGCTCGGCAGGCAAGCCGTCGCCCAAAACCCCCTCCCCTTCACCCTAGCTGAACGCGCCCGGCTTGTCATCTGCCGCTCTCTCATCGACCCGCGGACGAGCAGGCCGCGCCCGCGGGAGGGAGCAGGAGAGGCTCTCTCACATGGTGCGCGCACGCTGACCGGCGCTGGCGCCTAGCATATCAGTTTTCCTTCCTGTTTTGTGGGAGGGGGGAGGGGAAAAAGCGGAGAGCTGGATGATAGGTATTACGGCTGAACGTATCCTGTGTGCGTGCGTATACTACTCCGACATGGGTATTCATTATCGTGGGCTGCTTTTTTGTTCCCGGTTTCCCTAATCCTCTTTTCCCAACGTCCCGGGATCGGCGAGTCCTCCGATTCCCCCCCGGCCCCCCTCCGCCTCCCCAGAGATTTAGAAACGAAGAGGGAAGAGAAGAGAGAGAGTGTGTGTGTGTCAGACCCGGCCCCAAGACGACGCCAAGACGAAAATAGCCTCACCCAAGCCTTCGGCAGCTTCAGCGCGTATGTGTGTATGCGTGTATGCGCGTATATGGGACTCGAGATCGGTAAGCGGTTTCCCATACATACCTACATACATGCCTACATACATATCCACCTGCCCGCCTCTTATTCTTATTGTCGAGGTCGGCTACTCTACTTCTCCAAACAGGCGACGGCTTCGCGAGCGTGGAGAGAAAAGCAAAAGCATATGCAAAGCCAGGAGGGTCGCTTATCGATCGTACGATCGCAGATGTCACCTGCGAGATGTTATGCCTACGTGAGCGAGGGGGGCTGCGGCCCCGCGCGTATGTATCCTGCCGCGGACGAGAGTATGAAGCTATTAATAGGCAGGTAGATATATATTATAGCGAGTCATGTGGATAGAGGTATAGATATATGTAAGTCTATATAGGTAGAGGTATGGGCATACCTACATAAAATACCTACCTATTTAGTCATCTATAGTATACGCTTTTAGCCCCCCCATCCCCCGGGCAGCGGAGCAGCACAGGGTTCTCCGTGAGACATGTAAGTAGGCACGTCGTTTCCGATAATTGCGAGTCATGTTTCCGGGGTATATTCTGCCTCTCAACTCCCCCTCCCACCCTCTCCTCACCCAAACGAGTGCCTCCCCTAGAGGAATGCTTCCCGAACTTCCATGCATGAGCCTCACACCACACATGCCCTATAGATCTTTGCTCCGAGACGGAGGGGGTGAGGACGGGGATGCCCTCTTCGGGGACATCCGGCCCACCCACCTGCTCTCGCGTGTACGTGACGATTCTGCCGACGCGTTGTGGCCGACGTATCGCGCAAGTTCCTTCACCGTCCGTCTCGAGCTGCATCGCATGCCGCATAGCTCCTGGTTATCGTAGAGCGTCCCAACCATATCTACCTAACCAACAAGTTCGGTCGTCGGCGCATATCTGGCGGCCCCCCCCCCCCCCCGGCTCGCAGGGGGGTGGGCAGTTGCCTGGACGGGCGAGGACCCTGGGGGAAGAAGGGAGAAGAGAGAGAGGGAGATAGGGCGCGCGCCGGTGATCGCTGGGTTGGGGAGGCGCTGAAGAAGGCCGCCGCGGTAATAGATGGGTAGTTCGCTCGCTTACGTGCCTACGTCGTAACGGGAGGGAAAGGGGGGGGTAGGAGGAGGAGGGGTGCGATGACGCAGCAACCGGACCTCGCGTGAAGGATGGATCGGTGAGGATCTGGGTGCGTCCTGGCCATGTCAGATAAGCCTGCGCTGCAGCGAGGGACGGTCGCATGCCCGCACCAGGGCCGTCTGGACACGGCAACGAACCCGTGGCGGCGACGGGTCTGCGCGCGCGCACCAGATTCGCGCCCCAGGCAGATTTTTCGCCCCCTTCTCGCTGCGCCCACGCCCGAGCGTCGGCCCACTCAGCGATCCCACGTGCCGCCGCGACTGCGACGATGGGCCGCGGGAGCTTTCGCAGGGCCAGCCAGTCGTGCGGCGACGCACCCGCAGAAGACCGGTCAGCGGCCGCGAGGAGGTGGGGTGGGGGGGGGGGGGGGAGGGGGAGGACCGCTCTCTGTCTGTCTCTGTCTCTCTCTCTCTCTCTCGCTACTACGCGCGCAGGTCGGGGGGTCGCATGGCCGTCCCGGACAGGAAGAGCGATCGCAGGTCGACGACCAGTAGGGCTAGTAATACGACCTAGCGATGCCACCAACGACCCCTACCGCGCCCCGACCCCTACTACCCACCACCGCTGCCGTCACGACTACCCTTAACTGCACCCATACCTACCTCATACGGCCCTTACATACACCATACATACACCATACATACACCATGCATACACCATACATACGTTACATACTCGCCCGGCGTCAGCACGCGGACGACCGGACGTGGCTCTGATTATCAATGCAGACCGTCTCTTTAGGCAAACGCGGCCCTATCCGTACCTACGTAGCTCTCCGAAAGCTGTCAGAGCTGTACGTAATCTTACATGCGTCCCAGAACGGGACTATTCTCCTATAGGTACCTACTACGACCTAACGCAGGACAGGGGGGGGGGAGGGGAGGTGGCGTAGAAGAGGGGAGAAGGAGGCGGGGAGGGGGGCGTGGAAGATGGAAGGCGAATGGAGAGAAGGTGAAGAAGAAGAAGAAGAAGGCAACTATGATGGGATTGCTCAAACCCCTCTCTGATAGCATCATAACCTGCCTGTTGCGTGCCGCCTTCTTTACTCATGGGTACTTGTCCTACGTATAGGTACTTGCGATGTACCAACCTATATACTCATAAATATTGCAGTTAACGAGGTATCTAGATGCCTGAGACGACCTTGGCCACCTGGTATGAGTACACGTGCGTGCGACTCACCGCCCTCACCACCGGGCTTGTCTGGGGTAGAGCTGGGGAAGAGGCAGGAAACGCTTACACCGCAGACGCCGACGACTTGACCAACGTCAGCAGCAGGGAGCTAGCCTGCCTGGTTCATCCCTGGGAGACCGCTGCGACTTGCGAGGATAGGCGTGTCTACGTAGGTAGGTAGATTGGAGGTTAGGAGGTTCTAGCTACCTACCTGGTGAACGTAGACAGGTAGGTAGGTAAACATAGCTAGTTTCTGCGCTTGGAGACAAGTGAATTAATTAATTAATCACCCGGGTCCGGGCTACGAATTCGGAGGCTAGCTCTAGGAGGTATAATACCTACTACCGACCTCCCAGATTACCTCCTACTCTCACCCAGGCTACTAAGGCGCCCAACCCTTACCTCCTATGCACACACCCGTGCGCATCTGCACACGGTAAGGTTGGCAGGCAACTCGACAGCAACAAACTACCCTGCCCTACTAACGACGCCGAGAAGAACGGCGGCGGTGACGAAGAGGTTGAGCTAGCCACCACCCGCCCACTCACCCACCCACCCACCATCCCGTCCCTCCAGGCCTCCGAGTCACGGCTTTACCTACCTCCTACCCACCCTGCCCGCCATCTCACACCCACCACCACCACCACCACCCGCGCCGCCCCTGCACATAATACTCACCTACCCTACCACACGAACGTTGCACGTCGTAGGCTCCCTACCTAACCTCGCATTCCCGCCCGCCCGTCCGTCCGTCATCGTACTTCTCTCTTTCTCTCCCCCTTCTCCCCTCCGCTGCTCGGCTGAATAAGCGGCGGTCAGGGGGGGAGGAGGAGGAGGAGGAGGAGGAGGGGGTTCCGTATGCCATCGCGGGATAAAGAAGAAGAAGAGCAGGAGAAGAAGAAGAAGCGCGAGAGAGAAACACACATAGACAGACAGACAGACGCTCAGACAATAGGCGCGCGCGCGCGGGCGAGATCTCGATATGGCAGACCCATGGGAGGTAGCGCGCGATGAGGAGGGGGGTGTTGATCTGTTGATATGGTATGTATCATATCTATCTATCTATCTCATGTATAGGGCTCGGAAAAGGGGGGGGAGGAGGGGAGGTTAGAAGGGTCGAGGGGAGACAGGTTCCTCCCGTCCTCCCCTAACCCCCCCCCTCCAAACCCCCAATCACCTCCCCCCCCCTTTTCCCAAGGGAAAGAAAACCACGTTGTCCGTCATCCATCCCTCTATTACCGGGTACGCCCAGACGCCTATTCGTCCTATCGAGCCTATCCATTATTGTATGACCAGCCAGCCAGCCAGCAGCTCCAATCTCCCAGCACCAGGCATGTGGCCCCCTCCGTTGCCCATACCTTAGGTACCCCTACCTACAGGTAAGTACCTAGGTAGGTAGGTACCTCCTACCTAACCTATCCATTGGCTCCCCCGCCTCCTCCTCTCTCTCTCTCTCTTCCCCCCTATGTCTGTGTGGTTACACGAGCACCCGCAGGTTGGCTCGCCGGCTCTTCCGCTCCCTCCTCGATTCACGCGTGCTTCCGCTTCCGGGCGCCGGTTGCCTTTCCTTTCCCTTAGCGGAAGAGTGGTACTGATCTAGAGAACGAGCCTTCTTCGTCCCCCTAATTTTTTTTTTCAACAGCACTCACATGTATTTCGTTCAAATTGCGCTTAATACCTATATAGGCATATGTATTTGTGTATATAGATGTACCACCGTGTCTAAATGTCCCGTGTAACCAAAAAAGAGAAGAAGAAAAAAACTTTCTAGCCGGACCACCCCGCGTAGGTCGTATCCATACCGTCTCCCCGATATATATATATATGTGTGTGTGTGTGTGCATGCGCGCGCGCGCATGTGTGGGGTGTATATGTTGTTATCGTATATAGTATTAGACAGGCAGGCAGGTCAGGCGGGTAGTAATATCTGCAGTACGAGGGCGCGTGTCGGTAACACTTCGTCCGTGTTGATAGGTAGGCCTGGTTGGAAGGAGATAAGTCGAATGGCGGCAAGGCATGGTGTAATGCGAAGCCACATAATATTGGTTATTGTTGTTATGGTTATCGTCGTGGTCGGTTTCGCGCCTCCTCCTCCTCCTCTTCTCCCGCCCCCCACCTCTCTTCCTCGTCGGTTGGTGGCTCTCTGTCGGAAGGCGACAAGAAGTAAAGGCAAAGAAACAACCCCGTACTTCCCTCACCTGCCCCCGTCACACAAATCTTTCCTGCGCCTCTTCTCCTCGTCCCGCCGCCCGCTGGCCGAGTCAAGGTTATCGTTAACACCGCATGTGGGTGGCCGTCGACCACCTTAAATTCTGCTGTTCCGTGCCGACGATGGCAAACTCGAATCCCGCCACCATCGCAATCACTACTGCCGCTTCCACTTCCTCTTCGATTTTCAGGGTTGTCACCCATCCTACCACATCGACGCACCCAGACCTTGCCTATTTTTAATCCTCCCGTTTCTCGCCCTTCTCTTGCCACAGGATCAGACGGGACTGAACCGCAACGTCTGTAGTACGGGAGCCACACGCCCCATTTCTGCCTTTGTCCTCCCCCGCTGTCGTCTTCGTCCACAAACCAACCAACTTGCAATCTCTCTGTCTGTCGTATGCTAGCCGTGGATAGGTACTGTATAGCCGTTAGGGGGAAAGAGGGGAGGGGGGGGGGGGTGTTTTCGCACGCGGAACAGCCGAATATGTGACGTTATCTCTCTGCTACGCCCATCCTGCCGTTCTCGCGAACACCGGTCGCGTAATAAGTACTCCCGTCTCACCAGGGTTAGGCGGCTCGCAGGATACGTATCGATGAGTTGTGAACATGCGGTTGTCCCGTTGGGTCGGCGAATCGGAGGAAAGGCAGAAGAGAACCAAAGAAAATTAATGAATAATAAAATAGGACAAAGCAAAGAAGCTGGGGGGAAGAGAGGGTTGCAAGTTTTGACCTCCCCTTTCCCATGACTGTGGGGGGTTATCGCCAGATTGAGAATCGCCCACACGTTGAGAACCGTCCGCACCCGTTGTTGGTGTCCCCTAAGGACTAACGTCCAATCTGGCCGGGTGTCGTAGTCTGAATGTGACGAATTTCGTAGTGGCGCTAGTAGTGATGACGAGATCGTGCGAGACATCCCTGGGACCGAATTATTTACCGTCGTCCCGGAAACATGTGACAGATATTGGCGGGTCCGACATTATCGCATATCGCCGTATACGCGGACCTGGGTCGACTCGGTAGGGGGGCGTCGTGTGAAGTTTCTGGACTTCCTCCAGCCAACCCGTACTAGATCCGTCCCGTCCTCCAGCCACCAAAACCACCGCAACCACCACCCGGAACCAGTTCACGCGGCACACTATTCGTCACTAACAAAGGCCCGGCGTGGCAGCGGCAGCGGTGGTAGTAGTCGACTTGACGAGGTTGGCTCTATTCGCAAATCATGCGTGCGATCCAAGTTATGTCATTAACGAGCAACGCCTACGTACATGTTGCCAAGCGGTCAACCGCTCCTGATTGACTGCCGAAATCAAATCGCCATAGCAAAACGCCGTTTGTGATGCCAAATTCCGTTCAACCATCCTGTGAGTCACTGGTGGTGGTCCTGATGCTGATGTAAGTCATGAAACGGCAGTGGTGTAGACACTTTTCCCACACCGGATTTCCCTGTCCCGGGTATAAAATTTCACAGTACGGCACGACAACACCCTCGTGTTGTCGCGGCGCTGCCGCGTGATATAACACACTCAGAATCGAAGTCTCCAGAATAAGGCCACTCTAGATGTTCGGCTGAGGCGATAGTACTAAAATAAAATAAAAAGTGTTAAGAGGCGACTCGTGGCTACCGGCGAATTTTGTGGGTGACGCATCGCACGATCGACGGTCTAGTTCGATCTCCGGTGCCGTAAGCGATTTCAAATCGCAGGATTCGATGTAGGCATCACATTAGCGCCTCTCGTCACGACGCGACCGCCGTCATCGTACAACTTCACTCCCCACCGCGGCACGCGCTCTCACTTTCTGCCTCGGTTGGTGGAGGTAATCTTGCTCGTGCTCATGAGGTCGCCGATGTATTTTTGCAAAAACTTGTTATGGCTATCCAGTTTGTCGTGCTCCTCCTTGACGGCTTCTATCCGGTTGAATATCATTAGGAGAGAATCCTGCAATGCTCTCGCGTGCCTGCAAGCGCCGTTAGTCCGAAGCGTCCGGCAACGTGTGATTAGGAAGAGGCATACTTGTGAAGCTCCTCTCGCGCCTCACGCCCCATCACCTCGATGTCCTCGCTCGTTCTCCTCGGGCTCATTGCCCTGACGTCATCCGGCTCGAGATCCGGCTCTACGGGGCCGACTTGGGAAGAATCTCGAGGGACTATGAGGGTGCCGCTGCTCTTTCGGTTCGGCAGACGCGGTCGTACTGGAATAGGGTTGTGGATTTCCTGGTTCTCCATGGAAGAGGAGGACGATGAATCCGATCGCTCGGGCGGATTAGGTTTCGTGGAGGTGGGCTCACTACTCATGATGACCGTGCTGGGTATATAGGTAGTTGTGGTCTTTGGGAGTGGTAGCAAGTAGTAAGTAGTACCGGCCCGGGCCGTTGAAGGGTTGAGTATGTCGAAGTGAAGTAAAGTAGCGGTAGTAGTATTAAATGGACAGAAACGAGGGACGTTGGTGTGCCGCGGTATTAGAAGGTTTTAAAAGCTGGCAGGGTGCCCGTCAACGTTTACGCCCGTATCCTCCGGTCGCCCAAGCCTCGGAGAGATCGCCACCATTCAACAGTCCTGGTGGGCAATAGATGCTGAGAGGCGAGCGGCAAGATCAGTTGCGTCTCCGCGTCCGTGTTGTGCAGCGGCGAACCTTAAGCGCTAGTAACGAGAGGAAGGGCGCGAGAAGCTGTCTTGGATTGTCTTGGCTAATCCGAGCACAAGGAATATATCGGCTCTTTGTTCTACGATTATAATTGTTTTTCTCTGCTTTCTCAGTGGGAGGGTGGAGGGTTGTATAAGTCGGTCAGGCTACAAGCAGAGAGAAGATGGGCAGGCTCCGAGTAATAAGGGAGGGAAGGATAGTAGGAAGAGGAGCAAGTAGTAATAGGTGCCGGAAGAGGCGCAGATGGTTGAAAGGGCCCTGCGGGCGTGCGAATCGGGGATGGGCGGGGCGAGCCAATTCCAGCACAGGTCGAAGTGAAGTGATCGTCGTCAAACCTTTGGACTCGGACGGGGGGTGTAACTGTTGATTTGGGGGGTGACTGGTCGAAGCGTGCTCGGGTTTTCTTGTGCTGGCCGAGGTATGGGAGAGAGTTTTGTGGTCAGCCAGCAGCTTCGTGGGTCGTTGTGGTGTCGATCAGTACGAGAGCGAGAAGGAGAGGGAGAGGGAGAAGTTCGAGAGGGCAACGGGGTTGAAGGACAAGGACGGCGGCTTTTTGTTAGTAGGGTCGGCCCTCTGGATGTGACAGCGATTACAGCACCGCACAGGAACAGCAGGCAAGTACTCGGGTAACATGAGGCACAGTGGGGCCAGCACGGTTATGTATGTATACATACGCATACATAGTACCCAAGTTTTTTATCGGGGGTACGTACATAACCCATGAAGTTGACATCAATCCATGCTGTACTGCTCCATGCGGGTCCACATTGGACGGGTCTTACCTTAACCGCAGAGGATAGGTTAGGATAGGTTAGGATAGGTACCTACGAGACATGTACCGAAGCGCCGGGTACCCGATACGTGTGTATACACGCTCACCATTTATATGGAAGAGTACTTCGAGATAGCCCTTGCCACAAGTACATTCAATCCCGCCTTCCATACTTCCCTGTACGTCTCGTCCTCTTACTTCCCACTCGCTCGTGCGGTACCTAGGTACTTGTGTACATGTCCGTTGATCTCTGGTACAACCTGTTATATACCTGTATCTCTCGTGGAATCGCTCAAGGGTATAGGCATGTTGACGGTGTATTAGGTACCTGTAGGTTAGGAGGTAGGTACCTGTTATATGTAGACATTCGGTAGGTGTAGGCATGTTCCTTAGAATACCCTAGGTACATCTTATGTCTAGATATACGCCTACACCTTGCGTAGGAGGTAGGTACCGAGTAGGCATGTTATGCAGGCATTCATCATTCAGTCTTCTTCCATTTCAGGTAAACTGCGCTGCCTTCCTCGGTAGATGGTAGATATGTTACATTAGGTACCTAATGTCATACCTAATGTCACACCTCCTGTGAGACCCCTCGCTTTACCTCTATGGACATCATATACGCCGTCGTAGATCGCGAGGACTCTCTGCAAGGACGGGTTCAAGATTGTAATATATGTATACAGCCGGAGGATCCTTCAAAGCAGACGGTTTCGCCAGTAAGTTCCACGGTAGGTACCTAGGTTATATACCTACCCGGGCAGGTACCCAGCGAATCCATCCACGTACCCATCCATTCTAGGCTCCCCACCTCCCAGGACAGTTGGCAGGCAGGCAATACGCCATTCACCCTCGCCCAATCAACTATCATTCCCTACACAGACAGACGGAAGAGGATGAATACGTGCCCACTACGCGAGGAACCTGGTTATAGATAAACAGAGGATGTAAGTGGTGTAAGCACTGAGGTCATTGGGGTCACGGTGTCCTGGTTGAGTAAGCTGGCCTACTATACCTGGAATTGGTAGAAGAAAAAGCTTGTGGTTGTACCAGTAAAGGTAACTAAGACAGCCAGAAAATCCCGGCGAGGGGAGGAGGCGACATATACAAATACCTAGGGCCTTACAGCAGGGGAGCTCCTGACCTTACTTATTTCCAAAGGCTGCGAGAGGGTTAGGTACCTAACCTAGCCTAATGTATCCCACATGCTTACCTGTGTTGGGGCGTACTACATTAGTTAGGTGGTATACATATCCCACAGAGGCACACATATTCATACATGTACACGCCTCCATAACACGTCGGCTAGCTAGGGGTTACATGGTAAGGATACACAATATGAGTACATGTAGCCCTGGTATCGCTAGGTACATAACTCAGGTACTTATAGCACGGTCTCTTAATGCACTGCAATTCGTATGTGCATATCTCTGAGGTTAGGTAGGTAATTTCGGTGACTTCGGATGGATACGTCTTTTTTTTTCTCTTCCCTCGGCTGGCATTTCCTAGATGTGCGCGTGTCTAGGTCTTCCCAGCCAATAGCAGGGCCGCGGGGGTGTCGAGGATGAAGAATTCCGCACGAAGTTCGGAAATGACTGTAGAAAGTCACACAGCGCTGCTGTGAGTCAGCACGGTTAGATATATCCCATCGATCTATTGAATACACGTAGGCGCATGCCGACATAGATTGACGAGTGTATACAAATATTGGGTGGAATTGGTACGCTCGGTTCGCCCTCCGACTTCGAGGACATGAAACATGACAGAAGTGGCGTCGAGCATGTCGGAGAGACAGTCAAGTCGTATTTTGACCTCTTGTCCCCCTCGCCCTCGTTGCCAATAACATCCGGGTTGGTCAGGGTGGTGGACCGGACTGGCTGGCGAGAGGAAGAGAGACGACCTGCCTAGCCAATTCTCGCGCCCGTTCAGAATATGTATGAAGCACTGCCCGGGGGGGCCCGCCCACTTACACGTACGTGCTGCGACGGTATTTTAACCCCTCGGTCCAGCAGATCTTTCTCAAGTTGTGCCACTCCGGCAAGTCGGCTGTGATTGGAAGATGTGATAAGGAGTGGCTCTCTGTATGGGGAATGGACGGGCATGGTAACGAGGAATGGGATTTCTGATGGATTCCTATCGGGCTTGGCCAATCGTCACGCTCGGAATCGTGGACCAACGAGAGACGTCGACGGCGCACGGCAATCTAGGGTGGTTTCCAAGGGGCTCTGTGATGGGCAACTGATCTCAAAAAGCCTGCTTGACGACGACGTTTTCAGTAAGTGATTAGCACCGGGGCTCCATTTAACGGCCCATCCTGCTGCTTAGAAGACTCGTGTGCTCCATCTGGCGGTCGGAACTAAACCCGAACTCCTCCCGTTGGGAGAGCTTCACCGCGCATTTTTGTTATTCTTCCTATGATCGCCAGAAAAAAAAAGAAAAGAAAAGAATTGTTTCCCACCCAAGTCTGCGCTACGTAGGTGCCTATACTCATATAAACATACATAATAACCCTAGTACATATATATCCTCTACTTGAGGGTGGAGGTGGCATCCCAAGATGACTCCACCAGATCGGAGGTGCAAGTAAGATATTTTCGAAGCTTTCCTAGGATCGCGCCCGAGAAGACATTGAGGATGAAGGGGGGGACGGCTTGGAGGGTCAGGTTGACATATAACTGGTCTGTCTTCGACATCTCGTGGCGCGGAACAAAGTCGTCCTCCGGCTCTGCTCTACAGGGCGCCATTTTCGAAAGGATGAGGACCCCTAAAAAACGACGTGGTGGTGCGATTTTCGCAGGATGCAGCTTAGGCAAAATTCCCATCTGTCAAAGCCCATGGTATGGCAAGAATACCACACAGGGCCGTGCCGTCGCCAGTCCCTCTCAGGCAGGGCCTCGCAAGCTCGACGCCGATCTCTCGCCTCACATGGCATCGCACAACTGCGTCTGAGGATTCGTGGTTGGAGAAGAGGTTCATGAAAGCAGAGAAGGGGGCGGGAGGAAGCGCGCGAAAAAAGCCGTGGCCGAAGGAAGCCTTTAACTCCTATGCCTCGACAAATGAAAGGGACGACGGTTAGGTACATGAATGGCGTAATCAGCATACCCTCGGGTCCTTCTTAGACGGTTCATGACCGACCTGCCTAGCGCTCAAATGCCCCTCCGGAAGATGACGAGTTGGGACTGACAAGGTCCCAGGCAAGGAAGGCAGAATATGTACATATGTCAGGCACATACCTACCTATATCAAAACCTAGCAAGATGCCTGGCAGGCAGGCGCTGCCCTACTACGTTAGATACAGGTAGGTATCTCTATATATACCTCGTGGGCGCGTAAGTACCCCTAAAGGTACGTCTTGAATGGGAAGGCAGTCGGGCTGAGGTAGCAAGGCTCGGTACCTCTCCTGGCTAGCGGGTACTTTAACACGACGCACACAGCTAAGGGAACAGTGCAGAAACGTCGAATAGTGGTAGGTATACACGTAGCGCTACCCTCTTTGGGCAGTCGGCGCGATGATGTAGGAGGTAGGTAGGTATGTATCCATGTGTATGTGGCATGTATGTACGTACACTCGCACAGACGTACCTGTAAGAGTAGGAGGTATGTACTCATAGACATTAGTGGCTGGAACCGGACCCAAAGGCCCCCCTGGCGTGTGAGGAGAACAACAAGTGATGTCATCCCTGAGCAATCTGTGGCATTCTGTTGTATCCGCGAATAAGGAGCCGCCTCAGCTCAACACTCTTCCCATGCCCCTATCAGATGCCTACCCACCTGTCACATCGAGCATTCCTCTAGTCGCCTTAGGCACCTTTAGTGGACTGAAGTCCCTACGTGCATACGAGAAGGACCGTACGTGCCTCCTAACTTCCAAGGTGTGCACGTACCTTAGGAATGTACCCAGGTACGTCCTTCCATCGACAGGGCCAACCAACTTCCAACGTTCCTTTGGTGTATAGTAGACTGACGTGTACCTGGGTGCCATGCACTACGTTAGGAGGTATTTAACTACCTCTTTGCTGAGCGAAGTCTCCCGCGACAGATACCCCTGTATCATGCCCCTCGTAGGGAAGCCCTTGCATAGCACGGACCTGACGTAGGTAGGTAGGTATTTTCCCCTATTGAAATCTCTTCAGAGGGTACCCACTTCCTCGTGTCGGGCAAAAATAGCCCCCTCGGCCTCGAGCCGACGGAATAGTCAGACAAATGACGAATGGGGAGGAGACGATGCCAATGTTACTAAGCTATTC